AAGAAAAGCAGATCAAAAAAGTTATGACCTGGATGAAATCTGACATCAATCGCATTTTTTTTCTCACTGAAACATGGAATTTTTAAAGTAAATTACCAAGGAGATGGTGTGGTCAAGGGCCTGTTTAGGTTGGTGCGTGGTGGTGGTGTTGGAAGTTCTCGGAACCAAGACTGTGAAACCCTCTCTAACCAGTGGGGCCGCCACTGTGTGCTTTCTGGGCAGGGTTCTTTGTGCATCAGTATGACCCTTTGTTGAGGGGAGCATCTCTCTCAACTAGCTTCATCTCTGCTCTCTTTTTTACTCGTTAGCCGAAAATTTGGGGTGTGGTCTGGTACAATAAAAGAATGCATCCCCAATAGTAATGAGTGACAAAAATTTAAAACCTAATTTTTACTTACGAAAATGAGAATAGCTGAACCCACTATCTGCATTCTTAGGTGTTGTTAGAGGAAATGTTAGAAGGTCCTAATATCGTTAGCCGAAAATTTGGGGTGTGGTCTGGTACAATAAAAGAATGCATCCCCAATAGTAATGAGTGACAAAAATTTAAAACCTAATTTTTACTTATGAAAATGAGAACAGCTGAACCCACTATCTGCATTCTTAGGTGTTGTTAGAGGAAATGTTAGAAGGTCCTAATATAGCTAATAATACTAATAATACTCTTGAGGAAAAAATGTTCAGGTCTTACTGATTTCAAGTAACTTGGTTCCTTGCTCTCCACCCCTTAGTGGAAAATAGATAATGATGTTCCACGTTCAATTCTATTTTTGTGCATAATGAGTTATTGGAACTTCAAAATAGGGCCTAATCTCATTAAATGTTATTCTCATTACATATTATTCTCATTACATGTTGTTATTATATTATAATAATATTTAACACTATTAAATATTATTAATTAATAATATTCTCTAGCCTACTCATCAGTGACTGAGAAAAGATATAGGTAATCTGAAAACAATAGAATTAAAACCTTCAACCCTGGAGAAAAAAGGTCAAGGCACAGAGATGAATCTATATGTTTTCCACACAAATAAAATGCCCTTTCTTGCTGTTAGTCAACAGAATAAGCTCACATGTTGAGTTCACAAAACATAGGCATGTCTTTTTTCCTTTTATACCCTTTAACAAAAGCTATCTTGAGACCTATGTACTTTTGTGGTATGATATGCCAATTTTCAAATCCCTGTATTCAGGGAACCAGTGAGATGCTGGCTTGTACTAACTCATGACAGTCAAAGTCTAAATTTTCAGGAATATTTTAAGCTGGTTGTTAAATACAGCCTATATAAAAACTTAAATTATATAAAGTGCCCTTATATAAATCACATTAAAAATAAAGTTAAAAAATACTCAAAGCTCAGCACTTCTTAATTATTTTCCTACATTTTACTGTTATCTATGCTCTTGAGGTTATTCACAACTCCTGTATTTGTATGGTACAAGTACTATATAATGGAGTACATCTCTTCCCTGCTCCACATCGAGTAACATCAGGTAGGCAGCTTGAAACCAGCTAAGATGGGAGTATTTACAACACTGAAACTGGCAAATATCCAGGCTTGTTTTTCTGGGTAAATAAACAGAGAGAATCATCTCTTTACTAAGTAGTATACTGAGGTAGAGCCACACTGGAATTGGGAAGATGGAGACCTGGTCCAAGCAGGTGAAAGCAACAGTGAGAGAGAAAGTGTTGTATTCAATTCTGATCCTCAGCTGCCATTAGATGAATGGTTTCTATGTGTGAAAGTCAGAGAATTGACACCCACCACTTTTCCCGTGTACATTTGTCTATTTCTGATTTACTTTAAAAAAAAAAACAAAAAAAACCTTAAGGATATTTAGAGGGGCTGCTGATGCTCAGACATCCTGTCTGCACTCTTTCTTTGAGAGGCGCTGCAAATTGAGAGTGCATTACCACTTTAGTTTTCACTAACGGAGAGGCTAGGTCCCAAGTCATACCCAGTAGAGCAGCAGAACACCAACATACTGAATCATGCTGTACAGAGCCATGTACTTAAACATGCAAAATGAGGTAACAAGAGCTGCGCGTCCTTCCCTGTGTAAGAAAAAAAAGGAAAAGGAATGAAATGAAAGTAATAAAAAGAATCAGGTCAATTTTGCAGTGCTGTTCAGCTGACCTCAGGAGAAAAATCAAAAGTCTGATTATAGGATTGTTTGTCTGACAGACTGTGCAGCTTTGAGCCCGTGGGAGCTGGCTGTCAGTATGCTGAATAGCTAGTTTTGCAGGAAAAACCAGTTCTAGACCAGGGTCCCCAGGCTTTGATCTGGCAGTGGAGGCCAGATTTATGGTTAATCTTGTCTTTTCTGTGGGCATTATTTCAGCTCCTGAACTCAGAGTCAGGGGACTTGGAAGCTAGTGCCAGATCACATACCTACTCACTCACGTGATTGGGAAAGTCAATTTCCTTGTCTCAGTTTTTTCATTTGTGAACTAAGGGATTTAAATAAGATTGCAAGTTTGGGGGCTATTTTCATACAGGTACTTCAGGAGTTTGGCTGACATTTGATTTAGATTTCATTTTGGCAGTCCCAACTTTTTCTAAAACTGGACTAAAAACAATACACACACTCAAATTAGTCATATATCAAATTTAAATAGAAATGTTGAGCATGTTCATTGTGTTATTTTTATTGACTTGAGTAAACAGTACACATTTAAAGCATAAAACCTATTACTTATGAGATGCCACTTTCATCTATTTCATTTGGGAAGAAAACAGGGTTTAAATGTACTTGTGATCATAATGATTTCCTGGGGTTCCAAAACCAGATCCTCAAATTAAGTTTTTTCCTGTATCAAGGTTTTGCTGCTGCCATTTAGTCTTCCCTGAAAGTAGTTTCTCCTTATTCCTCACCTCCTTAGAGAGGTTTTTCCCATTCCACCCCATCTGAAGCAGCCAACTTCACCTCTACAGTCATCTCACCACCTTTTACATCACCCTTTTTATCTCCTTGACAGAACCTACCAAAATCGGTAATATTGTCTTCATTTACCTCCCTTAGTTCCTTGTACTAAGTGCATAGTGAATAAATATTTGTCAAATGCATAAATAAATTTAAAAATTGGGAGCCAAATTATTGTTTTAATGTGGTGGAAAGAGTATGAGATTTGTGGATAAAACACATTTAAACAAAATCAATTCTAACATAATCTCCAAATCTGTGTGAGCTTGGGCACATCAATTAAGTTCTCTGAGCCTCAACTTCCTTATTTGTAAAAGAAATAATAACCATTCCTACATTTCCATGCTGTTTTGAAGTATAATAGGCATTAAAGCACTTTGTAAACTATAAACACATGCTAGTTATAATAACTAAGAGCAACCACAACGCTAACTGTATCATTCAAACAAAATGCAGAAATTTTCTGGGGGTAAAAAAAAAAAAAGAAAGCACCAAGAGAAATTTTACTGGGAGCAGCAAAAATCAATAAAGATTTTTAAAAATGAAGATGGAAAGGGTACTCCAAAGAAGCATAAAGAGGTAAGAGGGAAGGAAGGCAAGTAGGTTTCTCTCAATCCCCCAGTATAAAACATCTAAAAAGATACATTTTAAAACTAAGAGGATGATTGACACTTTCAAAGCAGTAGCAACTTCCAGATTTCAATAGTAGATAATATTATTTATAATAATATAATAATACATATTATATTATTATAATATTATTATAAATAATATTATAATAATATTATCCAAAAATAAGCTATATCAGTGATTTTCACTGGAAATGCTACTGCTTTCCCTATGTTATTTTTGATTCCTGGTAAGTCCATTTGGCAGTAGAATGTTTGACTGCATTCCTGTACAAAGCATCTCCCAGCCCAGGGACAAAAAGTTTTCTTGGTCTTTCCCAGGAAAGTGAACTTCATCTAAAATTTGAGAGAGAAAATGCAACGGTGGGAGAAGGGCCTACTTACTTGATGAGGCGAGGTACGCACTCAATGTTTGGAGTTTTGGAAGTGAAAGGTGAGGCCACAGATGCCTCCTGCTCTGATAAAGAGATGCCCACATGAGCCATTTTCAAAGCCTGAAAGCAAAGATTGAGATTACTTCCCACGAAGACTCACATACGTTTCTACTGAGGCCTCATAAGAAAAGACCAGTTAAGCTGGCCATAGGGCAGCTTGTGGGCCCAAACACTAGCCCAGAGATGACCAGACTGTATTCCGCCTGCTGCAGAAAAAAGAGATGGCACTGGGACACCTAGTCAAAGAAGTGGGAACTCAAGAACCCAATTCTACTCCATTTAGCCTAAGCTGACCACTGAGTCATTGTGTGGCTTTGGTCAAAATCCTTCCAAACCCTCAGTACCAGTTTGCCAATCAAGAGAAATGGGGATGGTGTATATCCCAGGAATTACGCCTGCTGCAGAAAAAAGAGATGGCACTGGGACACCTAGTCAAAGAAGTGGGAACTCAAGAACCAAATTCTACTCCATTTAGCCTAAGCTGACCACTGAGTCATTGTGTGGCTTTGGTCAAAACCCTTCCAAACCCTCAGTACCAGTTTGCCAATCAAGAGAAATGGGGATGGTGTATATCCCAGGAAGTACTGTCTCTAGAGGCTCCAGACAAGCATACTTGAGTGTGAGATTACGGCCCCCACACTGGCAGCTACTTACTTACCCCACAGTCATTGGCTCCATCACCGCACATGCCTACAAAGTAACTAAAAGGGAAACATGTCAATCACAGAGGAGATCAGAAGTATCTTTCCACCTAATTTCTCTAATCAAAAAGACAAAGTGACTGTCATGACTTAAGGGTCAAATTTATTATTTATTTATTCTAAGGGAGTTTCCCTAAGAGTCTGGATTGACTAATGTGTGACTCAGCAGTTTATACAATGGATAGGGGAATGCAGAACACCATTCCTGACTCCAGGTGTTTCCTGTGGACACCACACCTCACTGCTTAGGAAACAGCTTTCTCAGATGTAAAACAGGGATGTTCATGATTATATGATAAGACATCATGACACGGTGAAGAGGGCACAGGATTTGAAACCAGAAGATCTAGATTTTGACCTGGTCATCTTACCATGTTGGCCATCTCCCCTACAAAGTGTTTTGAGTATTAAATGAGGTTCTTGCCTTCTGCTCTGATAAAGAGATGCCCACATGAGCCATTTTCAAAGCCTGAAAGCAAAGATTGAGATTACTTCCCACGAAGACTCACATACGTTTCTACTGAGGCCTCATAAGAAAAGACCAGTTAAGCTGGCCATAGGGCAGCTTGTGGGCCCAAACACTAGCCCAGAGATGACCAGACTGTATTCCGCCTGCTGCAGAAAAAAGAGATGGCACTGGGACACCTAGTCAAAGAAGTGGGAACTCAAGAACCCAATTCTACTCCATTTAGCCTAAGCTGACCACTGAGTCATTGTGTGGCTTTGGTCAAAATCCTTCCAAACCCTCAGTACCAGTTTGCCAATCAAGAGAAATGGGGATGGTGTATATCCCAGGAAGTACTGTCTCTAGAGGCTCCAGACAAGCATACTTGAGTGTGAGATTACGGCCCCCACACTGGCAGCTACTTACTTACCCCACAGTCATTGGCTCCATCACCGCACATGCCTACAAAGTAACTAAAAGGGAAACATGTCAATCACAGAGGAGATCAGAAGTATCTTTCCACCTAATTTCTCTAATCAAAAAGACAAAGTGACTGTCATGACTTAAGGGTCAAATTTATTATTTATTTATTCTAAGGGAGTTTCCCTAAGAGTCTGGATTGACTAATGTGTGACTCAGCAGTTTATACAATGGATAGGGGAATGCAGAACACCATTCCTGACTCCAGGTGTTTCCTGTGGACACCACACCTCACTGCTTAGGAAACAGCTTTCTCAGATGTAAAACAGGGATGTTCATGATTATATGATAAGACATCATGACACGGTGAAGAGGGCACAGGATTTGAAACCAGAAGATCTAGATTTTGACCTGGTCATCTTACCATGTTGGCCATCTCCCCTACAAAGTGTTTTGAGTATTAAATGAGGTTCTATGTGGGAAAGTGCCTTATAAAGTCTAAAATAATAAACAGCTATTATCTGTTGGTGCTGTTAGTACTGACATGAAAGGAAATCCACTCTGGCAGTAGTCATTCAACTCAAAAATGCAGTGCCAGGCCCAGAGTCGAAGAAAGAAAATAAATCCATGCTTTAGGATGGCTTTCTGAGGCTGGGAAAATACTGCTATATTGAATAGTTGATAAAGATTATAGATAGTTGGCTTTTCAACACACAAGTGCTCTGACAGCATTCACAGAATATGTTGTACTTTTCTTCCACACTGTGTTATGGAGGTAACTCATTGACTCTCTAGGTTTTCAACTATGTTGAGAAGACAGGCTTTCTGAATCGAGAAACTTTCCTGATGACTGAATCAAGTGTGTAGGAGGATGGAGTAGGAGTGAGAAGGAGTAGGAGTCATGTGGATGTGGCCCAGCATCAAAAGTAGAGAAAGACTCTGGTACTCCATGGGGATCCATTAACATAAAATAAAGGGTCCCAAATGATGGGAACTTTGCACTGCCCATCCTGTCCAGGAATGGAGACCATTTGTATTAAAAGAGAAGTATATTTCTAATTTAGAATGAAAAGGATGCTTTGGCATAAGAATATTTTATAGGGTTTATGAATCTCCTGTCATGTGAACCTCCCTACATCACAACTGTGATGACAGCTTATAAAAATAAAATCTAAATTCTCATTATACCTTTGGGAGCTGAGCTCAAATTACAAATATCTTTCCAGTCTTATTTCTCACCATACCTTTTCATGCCCTTTATGTTCCAGTCAAGTTGTTCTCAACTTTGGAAGCAAAATTTACTTTTGTGAGGAGCTCTGAAAAAATACTGATTTCCAAGCCTCATATGAGCCATTGAATCAGAGTCTCTGGACAGTGGGGTCCTGTATTGCTACATTTTTCAAAGCTCCCTAGGTGATCATCATGTGCAGCCAGGGTGAGAACCATTGCCTAGCCAAATCGAGTGATTCTCTGTGCCCTTTACACTCCCCTGACTCATGCCTCCTTGTAGCTCCCTCCACCTGAATTGGCAAAGAACCTACTCCAGTTTCTGAAATTCTTCCACCAGACTGGATTTCTGCCCAGGAGACATTCTTGCAAAGATGGTCCCATTAATCAGTATCTGTAAGGAGCCCAAAAGGAAATTTTGTATCAGATCATCTGGTCATACATGAAATAATTGATAACACTCAGAAGAGCATTGACTGGGTGATGATATCCATGGATGAGAAAAAAATCTGTTTCCAAGGAGCCCTCTTTTGGATTTTAGCACATACTTTGAGACTTGGTAATCAGATAAGTGACCAAAAATTAGTTAAGATGAGTATTTAATAAAAATATTTTATGGAAATAACAACCCACAGAAATTTAGCTCAGCTGTCAGGGAGAATGTGGTCCTGAAAAATCCTGAGCTTAATGGAGCCATGAACCAGTACAGTGTGGGAAATCACAACATAGCAAAAGGTCAAGATCCCAGGGGAAGCAGCCACTTTTCAGAAAATTATTCAAAACTAGCAGAAAAACAGCCTAATGGTGAAGTAGTGTTTATTTGTGGACTTTTTGACTTACCCATATCATCTGGACTTGACCAATTATAAAACCCAGCAGATATCCCAAATCTCACTTGAGTTATGGAACATTGATGGTTTGGGGGTATAAAAATATATATCAGCTCTATCCACCCAAGCTTCCTTCTACAAAGTCTAAATTCTTCTGTGTTAGATCCGTGTATTATCTGCTGTTCTTGGTATCAAACTTAGCTTAGTGTTCACTCAAAGAATTTTATTTTGTTTTTCTTAAATAGTACCTAAGATGATGAGTAACTGAATACAAATAATTTCTATTTGTTACCTTGGACACATCTTTTTCTAGTTTGTTCAAATATGCATACACACACACACACACACACACACACACACACACTCATACATATATCTTACCTGCCCCTACTATTGGTTTGTTCTTCATTAGAAAAGCTTTAAGTTTTTGTTTGTTTGTTTGTTTGTTTTTTTGTCTTTTTTCGTGTCCGGCAACGGATCGCAACCCTCAGTGTCGCGCCCATACCGGACCTGGACCGGCAATGGGATCGCAACCCTCGGTGTTGCGCCCGCACCTTGCTCAGCCAGTGAGCGGGAACTGGTCTGTATGTGGGATCCGAACCCTCGGCAGGAGTGCCGCCGCGCTCTCAAGCGGTGCACTGTAGCAGTGCGCCACCGGGCCGGCCCCAGAAAAGCTTTAAGTTTGACCCTCTTCAGTACAGAGGTCCTCAAACTCTTAATGGAGTTCCTTTATTCTTGGCCTGCCTTTCTGTGTAATCGCAGGATTTCCACTGTATGGTGAGACCCACTAATCATGGTAATATAGTGACAGGTACCCCAAATCAATACTAATGATTTGAGAAAACACTGATACTTCAATTTTATAGATAATAGAAAATTGACTAATCAAGTTTATTACTTCAAATTTAGTAGGACATGAGACAACAGTAACTTCTGCAAAAATATCTGCCTCTCTTATAACACAAAAGAACTTTTCCACTTAGGGCTTTAAAATTATTTAAGACCATGCTCTGTAGGTGACAGCATCAGCACCTTCACAGGGAGATTGTTACCCTCTTAGAACTTACCTTTGGCAGTAGGCTGCTGAAATGTTGAGTTATAACATGAAAAGATTTTCCACTTAGGGCAAAATGGTAACTTCCTTCTCCGCCATTATCAGAGACTTCTTCCCTGATGTTAATGTAATTGTCCTGCAAATCAACACAGTTATTTTAGACTCTTCTATTTGACAGAATGGTTAGGACCGCAAACATATCTGAGAGAAGGTATCAAGGACAGACCAGGGTCTCTCTTTAAAAGTTACACTCCAGCTCTAATTCCTCAGAGAGTCACTTTCTCTTTGCTGGATCAATCTTTGCCATCACAGCCACTAGTGGATAGAAGAATAACACCTACTCATGTCCTGTTCTCATCCTGATCTAATCTCGGTGAGTCCCAGAGAATAGCACATTTCACACATTTCAAGTGTAAAACACTAAAGCATTGCTGCTTAACAAATCTCTCCCTGAAGTGATAACTTACATATTTTTTTTCTCACAGAATTAATATTGTTGCACAAGGACACAATGGAGATAAAATAGTGGCAAGTCTTAAGATACATTAAAAAAAAGAAAAAAGAAGTTTTTTTCCCCTCATCCTGAGAGGTAGTCTGATTCTCCAATGCACAAAGTGATGTCCCTTCCAGGGACTAAAACCCCTTTGAACCCAGTGGGGTGACTGACTAGCAAAGAAAAATGGAAAATTAGATTCACAGCTCCACTTATCGTATTCTTCTCACACAGAGGCTACATTATTTTTAAGTTTAAAAGAATGAATTATTTCCAGAACCCAGGAAAGCATTGTACTCAGTAGAAACTATATGGAAAACTGATAAAATTGAGTTCATTGAACTGCAGACCTGCAGACATGTTAGACGTTTGGAGAAGTGTGTTGACTCTAGGTCAAAGCTGCTCAGTCACCAACTGTGAGACAAGATTGATAATATGGCAGGAAGAGTGTTTCCAGGTATACCTGATTCCCATATGCAATCTGTTTCTTCTCTTCTACTAATTTCCAAGATATAGATGCTGATGAGGACCCAGTGGTTTCATTTGCCTCAATGAGAATGACTTTCTGGCTTTCAGGAACCATCCCAGATTTTCTGGCCACTGTTATTGCAGTCTGAAGATTGTCACCTAGAAGAAAGGAAGTGTGTCCCAAAATGAGGTTGAAGAGATAGAACCAACTCATGCGGAGTCTAGAAAACCAGGGTAAGGCGTTCAGCCCTAAGATAAATAATCTGTAAGGTCTTTTTCAGCCCTAACCTTCTGTGATTCCATGATCCCTTCTCTAGTTCTTGCTGATTTTCACCAGGTTACCTCATGTATTTTTGCCAGAGAGTGGGAAGAAAAAATTTAAAAAGCAAAATTTAAATCTATTTCTGTCACTTGTTAACTGCTTCGAAAACTTTATGAGAATCTTACTGGCTTAATATAGTATCTGGTGGTTCCACTTCCAGTCAGGATAGAGTGAGGCCTCTACAATCTACCTCTTCCACTGATTACAAATGAAAATGCTAAACAAAACAAACAACAACAAAAAAACTACCCCAAAACATTGAAAAGTGAACAAAAACAGGCAGCCTGTGGAAGGGAGTCAAACGTGGAGAAGCAACCTACAAGGGAGTGAGTTTCTTGGCTTTTTCTCTTTCATGTGTTTGGCCTACGTATGGGACCCAGTCCCAGAGCTGTTCAAGCAGCTAATAGTTCAAGGGGAATGCAATCTTTTTGGTCAGAAGAGCCAGGAAAAGGAGTTCCTGTAGTCTAGAGAGTATGGGAGGAATCCTGGAGAGGAGAGAGCTAGACAAGCAGACTAGTTCAGTGTGTAAACTATGTAAGTCTTGTGTTCAACCCAGAGCTGTGTGTGGAGCAGACCCATACAAGTTTAACAGCAGCTTCAAGAAGTGAACTATGATATAAATCACCTCCCATTTTCCAAAGTCACCCCTGAGTGGGGCAGACCCAAAGATCATAGCAAAAGATTTAATGTCTAAGTTAATATTGGAACGACTACCTACAACAGGCAAGACAGAAATTGTAGTTAACTGCTTACTTAAAAAATAAATAAATAAAAGTAAAAACCAACATTATTCAGAGGATTTTCACAGGATCCAAAGTCTCACAATATAGTATTCAAAATATTCAGGATACTCAGCATATAAAAAGTAAAAAAATCTTGCCAAATCACAAAACAAAACAAAACAAACAAACAAAAAAAACCCAACAGTTGCCAGCTCTCAGGTGACTCAGATGTTGAAATTATCAGATAATGGTTTTAAGGCAGCTATTATTAGCCTCCTTTATGTTGCAAGTGTTAATATTCTTGAAATAAATGGAAAGAGAAATTTTCAGCAAAGAAATAGAAACAATAAAAAAAAAACCCAAATGGATACTTTAGAATTGAAAATATATACTATCTGAAACAAACAAAGAAGCACTCAGTAGCGGAATGGAGATGGCAGGACAGAGAGTCAGTCAGTGAACTTGAAAACAGATCAACAGAAATTATACAATCTAAAGAACAGAGAGGAAATTTTTAAAACAATGAATAGAGACTCAAGGATATCAAAAGGACTCATTCATTTCATCAGAGTCCAAGATTGAGAGGAGAAAAAGATAAGAACAGAAAAAAATTTTGGAGAAATAATAGCAGATAATTTCTCAAATAAGGCAAAAGGCTTAAATTTACAGATTTGAGAATCTCAGTGAACCCCAAACAAGATAAACCCATTAATAATATACCCAGACATATAGTAATCAAACTGCTAAAAATGAGAGATAAAGAAAAAAGCAGTTAGAGAAAAAAAAAAAAGCATTCCATATATAAGGAAACAATGATTCAAATTATCACAAATTTCTCATCAAAAACCACGGAAGCAAGAAGACAGTAGAACAGCGTGTTTAAAGTGCTGAAGGAGGCAGCGCGAGCAGCAGAGGCAAGATGGGTCAAAGTCAGAGTGGTGATCAGAGTCCTGGAGATGGCAAGAAGGATGACAATGACAAGAAAAATACATATGAACCTCCTGTACCAACTAGAATGGGGAAAAAGAAGAAAACAAAGGGACTGGATGCTGCCAGCAAACTGCCACTGGTGACACCTCAGACTCAGTTAAAATTATTGAAGTTAGAAAGAGTTAAAGACTATCTTCTCATGGAGGAAAAATTCATTAGAAGTCAGGAACAAATGAAACCATTAGAAGGAAAGCAAAAGGAGGAAAGAGCAAAGGTGGATGATCTGAGGAGGACTCCAATATTGTCAGAAACCTTGGAAGAGATCATTGATGACAATTTCACCATCATATCTACAGCTATGGGCTCAGAACACTACATCAGTATTCCTTCATTTGTAGACAATGATCTGCTGGAACCAGGCTGTTTGGTCCTGCTCAACCACAGAGTTCATGCTGTAATAGGGTGCTGATGGATGACAGGGATCCCCTGGTCACGGTGATGAAGGTGGAAAAGGCCCCGCAGGAAAATTATGCTGATATTGGAGGGTTGGACAACCAAATCCAGGAAATGAAGGAATCTGTGGAGCTTCCTCTCACCCATCCTGAATATTATGAAGAGATGGGTATAAAGCCTCCTAAGGAGTCATTCTTTATGGTCCGCCTGGTACAGGTAAAACCTTGTTAGCCAAAGCAGTAGCAAACCAAACTGCAGCCACGTTCTTGAGAGTGGTGGGCTCTGAACTTATTCTCAACTGTAGAACTGGGTTCCAAGGAAGTGGGGGTGGGGAGTGAGTGCTCTGGTGGGGAAATATTGTGACAAAAATAATAAAGTTAAATGCACCTAACTATGAGAGCAGAGAAAGAGAAAGCAACACACACTCAAAAATATGAATTCATGAGGAAATCATTTACTCACCTCTGGATTCCTTCCCACTTAAGAATTACAGTATCAGTTGAGAAGTATTCATTCAGAAATTTCACACATTTCCCTTGAGAGATCCTTCTCACTGCTTCCTTGTTTGTGTGATTTGGGGTTTGGGAGTAGGAGTAGAGAGGACAGCAATTTTTATCTCCAGAATCATAGGTTTTATTATTGATGGGCTTCAGTGGCGTTTATAGACCACATTGACTATGCATCTTTTTCCTAACATTTGACAACCACCACCACCATCTTTGTATGGCTCTCATCTTCTTGTCATCTGGGTCCTATTTCAGACGTCACCCTCAGAGAGGCCTCTCTCATCACCTCATCTAAAGCAGATGGTCTGACACAGTTCACCACATCACCCTATTCTGTGTACCTCAAAACACTTACGACACTGTTTGATTGACTGATTGATTTTTCTCTCATCCCGCTGGAATGGAAGCTTGGTGAGAGTGGTAACTTTGCCTTTTTTTGTCGCCCATTGGCAGCATCTAGAATGGTGTCTGGCCCATAGTAAGTAGTCAACAATATTTGTTACCTGAGTGAATCCCTGTCTATTTCCATATCAAATTCTTGCTGTTTTCACTGTACACTTTGTTCTGTACCTGTGATCATTACTGTCCTTATCCGGGCCGAGATGAGCTCTTCCAGGACAGGTCTCGTCTCTTCCTTCAATTGATTCTCCAAGATTAGCAATCCCAGAAATATCAGGTCTGATTCCACCTTCTCCCTGGAAACATGTATATATGATTGAGCAGAAACAGCACATTAAGCTTTCTTACAGGAAGTAAACACAAAGGCAAACCTCCCTGTCAGAATGGCCCCACTCACTCATCCAAGCACCATTCCTTAAACACTGACAATGTACCAGGAATGATCAGAATGAAGACAGGAGGGGACAGAAAGGATGTGGAGACATTTACTCTTGCTGAATCAAGAGGAAGAGAGTACTTACTAAGCAAAAGCTTTGCTTTAACTTTTGGGAGAATGAGCTAAATGGCTGCAAGCTTCTCTTCCATCTGCTGTGGCTAGTCTGATTTTTGTTACCTCGCCTACTAGCAACAGAGAAGAGTTCTAGATCTGGTACAAAACATCATGAAAAATAAGTCAGGCACATAGAAAATAATATAAAATGCCAGTTTTCCCAGAAAAGGCTAGAATCAATATCATTTTAGCCCCAGGAGGTATGAGGTCATAATCTCAACAAATGAGCCCTTCTATTAGGCCAGGCTCCTCCCTCCCTCTCTCTCTCGGCTAGGACCACAGCTCTTCTTCATAAAGTGTGGATGTTTCTACAAGTAAGTGAGGCCTCCGAGGCTCCTATCCACCACAAGAACATTTTCAGGAACATTCTACAGGACCAAGGACAGGGGAGTTTATTTGGGGTGGGAGATTCAGAGACTCTTCCATGATTCACTTATCTCAGTTGCAGACACAAGAACAAGGCACTAGCACTGCCCAATTCTGGCTGAAGTACAGATGAAAGCAGCACCCACTAACGCTCCCTTCCCTTGCTTGCCATGTGCATCTCAATGCTGGTTTCACATCAGCCACGGTCATGAGCTAGACCCTTATGAGGATCCCGGGAAACTGCTAATACCTCCACCAGGGCAGCAAAAGGTGGGCACAGCTTGAACTACTCACCCCAGAGCAGGCTCAGGAGGATAGCTTTTCCTAATCCTCTGAACCAGCCATTTAAATCTCTCTATGATCCAGTTCCAAACTATCTTTCCAGCTTCATCTGTCACTAAATTCTATACACACCCTAACCTTCAGCCAGTTAGACCACTTACCACGGATACACTCTGTACTTAACCATCCCTACACATTTGCTCCAGACTGCTATAAGACAGTCTTTTCTGATTTCATGGGGAAGGTTATAAGTTCCCCATGATCTGCCACTGAAATCCTTCCCATATTTTGAGGCCTAATTCTCATGCTACCTCCCCCATAAAGACTTCCCCATATAGAAATAACTCCTCCCTCGGCATATAAATTCTACCTCAGTTTAGCTCATTTATTTGTCTATTAATTATCATTGGCTTTCTGGTCTGTCTCTGTGTCAGCTCCTTGAGGGCAAGCCCACTTGATTTAATTTGCCATGTTCAACAATGCCCACATGGTGCCTGACACACAGTCAGCACTCAACAAATGTCTGCCTAGGTGACATGCTTCTTGTGACCATGTTTTGCCAGGCAACCTAGGAAAATTCATTTCCTCTTTCAGAAATTCTGCTGCCAGTGGGTTCTCACTGGGTCAGTCTGTCAGGCCAATGGACATTTACTAAGCACCTAATAAGTGCAAAGAAAAGGACTGAAGCAAAAGGGGGTGGAGGTGGAGGAAGCAGAGACTATAGTAGCCTCTGACTCCAGAGATTTCACATTCAGCCTGGTGGAAAAGATTAGACTTGACCACCTCAGTTAGATGAAAAGCTGGGAAAAGTACCAGGACAGGTGTACAGATCAGAGTCCCATGGAGTCAAAGAGGAGGGTGCAATCATTTCTGGGTGGCGTGATTAGATTAGCCTTCCTGGAGGAGATGGTATTTGAGCTGGTTTTTGAAGGATAACTTAACTGATGCCTGATTGAGGTCCTCCAAACTTTCTAGTGGCCATCATACTCAGGCCTCTGGTTTTAGATATTTTCAGAGTAATGACATGAACCAACCACGAGGTAGATTAGGCCAAGAAAATGGCTGCAGGGTCAAACTTCTTACACAGTCTGTGGCCCACCTTGGCACTGGTATTTCTAGTTCTTCTGGTTTGCTGCCTTTGTAGGGATCAATGCACAGTAATCAGAAGACTGGAGTTCTCATCTCAGCCCTGCCCTACATTGCTGTGCAGCCAGGAGTAACTCACTTTCATTGTCTGGTAATCTAACTCAGCTTTGGATCTCCAAGGTCTCTGTTACCTCTAACACTACCTGATTCTTCCTTTCGTGAGTATTCAGTCTAAGCCAATAAACAGAAAGAAGTAATCCCTTCAGGGGTCTGAAGCTCTGCAACTTGAAATAGAATGTTATCTTTTCCTGCGTCCTACTCAGAGATTATACCTTTTCCAGAAGCATCCAAAAATAATTTAGAATAATTAGTGTAACACAAAGGGAGCATTGTCATCCCTGTGATTATACTTCATGTTCTTAAAGTCCATGTGACTTTTAAAGGATGAAATATGCATAAAGTGGGCCAATAACCCTCAAAGAAATTATGATATCAGTGCTGGTGGTACCCTGAGTATCAAAACAAAAAACAAAAACAAAACAAAACAAAACCCAGAAAGAATGTTCTGTCCTAGTCAGGAATTAGCAAAGGATAATAAATTAAATTAGCAATGAGTGTTATGTAGTGGTGATGTGGCCTTAAGACGGGATAGACAAGTTAAAGAGCTCAGATCAGATCCTCTTAGTGAATTTGTATTTAGACCTTACCAGATTTTGAAAAGTTCAGTTTTGAAGATTTCAGTATCTTAGGCCAGGACATGTACTTTCTTGTTTGCCACAGCCCTCACTGTTCCCTATTACTCATTAGCCTCCACAGTGAGTGCTTTGTTACATGTGCAAGTGCCAAAACCATGAGTTTGCAACTTGTAAATATGCAAATATCTTATTATGATAATCAGAAGCAGTAGCACAGTAGCCAGAATCTTACTATATCCCTGGCAACAGGAAATTAAGTTCCGTTCCCAATTCTGCCACATCCCTTCCCTGGACCCAAGAGTCCTCTTCATTAAAATGTGTCATCCAATCTCAAAGTTCACTTTTAGCTTTCTGACTTGAGTGACCTTGAACTGAGTTCATCAAATTACAACAATTATCCAGAGTTGTAATAGCCAAAGTTTCAGGGGTCACATTAAGCTGGCCCCAGGTAGAGTGGCTCCGTAAGCCCAGGAATCCAACACTCAGTGACTTTAGATGAGCCACTTCCCCCTCTGGACCTTGCTTTGCTCATTCACAAAGTGAGAGTTGGGTCACATCAGTCATTATCAGCAGGGGCAGAACTGCCCCTAGAGGACATTTTGAAAATTTGGTTCCTATGCAAGATTTTCTGTAATGATCAATGCACAATGAAGAATTATCCTGCATCCTACATACCTTTTGAATATCTTATTGGACATTTATGGACACTAAAAATATTGTACTTTTCTGAGTCCATTTAGGCTTATACTGTTTATATTCTATTATTATACGATATAGTATAGTGTATTATTATGGCATATATAACATTACTGTATTATATTAAACAATTATAAAATTGTTTATTATATTTCCTCTAGCTCTGTTTTACATATAAACACAAAGTATTTTTGCACACTTTTAATATTCTATTGAATTTTGCAGAAATATATCTATTATATAAATTGAAAGGAGACTGTACTGTTTTCTTCAGAGTTTTACCAAGAGTTGTTAACCATTTCACAGAGTCAACTCACTGACAGCAAGACAGTTTGAAGTATTTGAGACAACAATATGTAACACACCTGTATCAATCTGCATTTATAGCTGTTACAACCACATTGATTCTATACACAGGCACAAGCAACGTATTACTTCATTTTGTTTTAGTGGAGTCAGCTTTAGTACGTATTGAATTATTACTTTTCGTGATACATTATGTTTTTTGTTTTTGTTTTTACTATATATAAAGCCACTATATTTATTTTTACAAAGAAGGTGTGCAGACAACATTATATATGAATTTTATGTTAGTATATTAAAGGAAGAGTTGTTGCAAAACATAGTGACAACAAGAGAGTGTAGAGTCTAATAAGGTTGAAAACAAATACAAGGGGATCTTCAAAAAGTTCATGGAAAGATTCACATTATCTTTTAATTCTATTTTTCCACCAACTTTTTGAAGGACTCTCATATGTTAGACCTTCGAAATTTAAAATTCTAAATAACAAAATGAGCCTTGATTATCTCCACAGCAGTGTAACCAGTAGTGGCTGGTGTAGAGTATTAGAAATGGCATTGAAGGTGAAAAAAATGTGATAGCCTAAAAATAGTGGAAAATGAAAGAAAACCACAATAAGTAAAGTTGAACTCATAAAGACTGCAGTTCATTTTAGCTGTTGAGCATCCCTATTTTAATCTATGCTTATCAAAACTTTCTCTAGTATGACTCTTCAGGAATTTTCTTATTTTTTTGCCAATGTTACTTAGATTATATAAGTCCAAGCTATACTTACTTGTTTCATTAAGCTGTGTATTTCTTATTAAGAAATTTTCTCAGGCATATGTTATGCTTCAAAATTGCCAACAATCCACCAAGTACAACAATAAAAAACAAATGGGGGTATGGCCACAATTTCAAACTCTGAAACACTGCTTATATTCATATGTCTGTTTCACAAAGCTGCAAAATCACATATTTTTCATTTATGCAGCTATTTCTCAAATATTCTCCCAGTCACTGTTCACATCAGCTTTGTGATTTAGGTGTGGCAGAGATAGTTAAATTTCTGTTTACCAATGTTCAGAGACATTTCATGCACACAAATTCAGCAAGCTGAGTTTCTGTGTCTACCACCCAAAATCTTTAAGTCCCATCCCAGTCTGGTGCATCTTTTCACCAAATCATTCTGCGTTATCAATATCCTCCCCATTACCTGGTCAAGGCAGTGGTGTGGTGGTCAGTTTCCAGCTTCTTGTAGGCCAGTGCAATGACCCGGAAGCCCTGCGTTGTGTAAATCTGAAGTTCACTAACAAAACTAGTTGGTACTGTTCAGAAAACAACATAGGATTAGTATGCAATATTTGTTTAGCTGGTACTGGCAGGAAAACTCTCTACAAACATCCAACTCTTGCCCAAGAAAACACACCTCTAAAAAGGTACACAAACAAGTCAGAGAGAATTCTAAATCTACATTGTCAGGGTAGACCTCCTGGGATCCAGTGAAGCTGAAAGGGGAAGAAAGCATCTAAGAAAAAGGAAAAAGGATAGGCAAGTGTAGAATTCTTTTTTCTCCAGTTTAACCAAGAAACATTGATTGAGGGTATACTATGTGCCAGGCATTGGCTATGCGGAGATCAAACTGCAAGCTCTGCTCTAAGGACTTCTGTCCATTTAAGGAACATCCAGCAGACTAACAATACAATCAAATGAGATCATAACTATGGTCTAGGCAATTGCCACATGCTATGAAGCATTTGGTGGTGGGTATCCCGGACTAGGAAGCAGTAGTTAGGTGGAAGGAAAGGGCTTTGGGGCTGAGGGAGCATCTTGTGCATAGGCAGGCAGGCAAGAGGCAGCAAAACTTGAGTAGTTAGTTCAGCTCAGGGGAGGCACCGGATGTGAGGAGAGGAGTGGTAAGGCATATCAGGAAAAGTTTATGGGTTCAGATCATGAAGGCATTATATCCGATCCTAAAAAATGTGAGATTATACTGGTGCCTATGGGAAGCAACCAAAAGAATAAAAGCAAAAAAGTGACAACATAGTTCTGATGGAAAAACCAATCTAGTCCCAGTATGGAGGGTGAACCAGAGTAGGGGAGGCTGCCGGCAGGGGGGAATTCAGCAGCTATTGAAGTCAGGGGTGATAAAAGCCTGAGCAGATCCAGTGACAGGACAATGGATTAGCAACTGATGAGAAGGAGTCACTGATGGGGAGGGAGGAATCAGGGATGACTTCTAAATTGGGTGGATGGGGGGATGGCGGTACCACTCACCAAGATGGGAAATTGGGAAAGACAGGAAGTGAGAAAGAAAAGCTCGATTTTGGTATTGAATTTAGAATGTCAATGAACCACCCAATTGCTGATGACCAGTAGGCAATTGAATTCATAGGTCAAGTGCTACAATGACTGAAAATAGATTTGCCAGTTGTAATTCAAGTCTATTCACTAACCTGTCTCAGGTTGGCAAAAGCTGGCCACCCTTTCAGGTGCACCTTTCATGAATGCCAGTCGGTCACCCCCCATCTCTTGGACAATGACTGTCATCCTCTGCAGCGCTGATGAGAACGGGAACTGATGCAGGATTGCAATTCCTTCCACTGGGACCTGGTTGAGGCATGGGGAATGGAGAGGGACATACCGACATAGCTTCTAGCTACTGGGAATTAATTACTCCTTCCTCAATTGTTATTTTAGCAAGTAAGGGGGAAAGATCTCTCCAATTTTCACATCTGGAATTCAGAGAAGACACCTCTGTGACCTTTCAAAAACTGGGGGATAGAGAGAAGTTTCCCTTCGAGTTTGGGTGTTGTGGGGTGAATGGCAGGCAAGGCTTACCTGGCTGGCTGTCTTGCAGGGCGTAACTACCACGGCCTGTGCTGGCAGTCCCTTGATGTGGAAATTGTCCTCAGAAATAGCCATTTCCTATTCCACAAATGGGATGTTTCATTGTAGAGGTTTATTATTGTTTGTACATTGATGCTGCGCTAAAACCCTCCCCTTGAGAAAATCCTCAGACCACCTCAATGTATCCTCTGCGTCTCCTCCCTCAGCTGGATGGAGGTGAACCAGACTTATGCTGCCACAGAAAAAAATAATGCACTGGAAATGCTGCAAAACTTGAAGGGCAGACACTTCTGAATTATTCACGCAATTTGTACTGCTTTCTCTGTTGGACTGTGCTGTGGAAAGGCTTGTTCTCCATTTCTGAAGAGCTTAAATTGAAAACAGTGAGCATGAACGGCCAGATGTACTTTGTGTGAAGAAAGCACCCACTCTCTTCCTTTTCCTGGAGTTCACTGCTGCTCCTGCTCTTCCCTGTCTGTCTAATTTGGATTGATGGTCCTCAGGGTGGGGCGGGGCTGGGACTGTGATGACATGGTTAATGTTCAGTAATTTCTATAATAATGATCCTAAATTATAGTCAAAGAAAACTTTCACCCAAAGATATCAAAGTGCTTTGTAGTCATTTCATACAATGGCTAAAAAAATCTCAGAGAGGAAATTGTAATCCCTATTTAAAGATAAGGAAACACTAACCCAGAAAGGACAGCTATGAACTTGCAACCCTATTCTAGTTGGCAGGGGCCCTAAAGATCGTCTCTTTCAGTGATTCTCACAGTGTGTCACAGGGACCTGGAGCTGCATGCAGCTGCAGGGAGAGGGGGTAGGTTTGTGGCTCAGCAGCCAGGGATTTGTGTCCCTTAATCTCCATCTTTACTCCATACCTTCTATTTCAACTGGAGCAACTCCAGCTATTTAGATGTTAAAGGATGCTTCAGAATACGGTTTCCTTTTAAGAAAAGATGCCAGATTTTTTGTCCTTTTTCATTTTATATGAACACTCGGGGTCTAACTCAATCCTCTCATTATTGTCATGGAAATCAGGGTCCCAACATGAGCGATGGTGTCACAGGGACGAGCAGTCAGAGCAGAGCCGAAACTAGGCTCAGAAAAGCCAGATTCCTGAACTACCTCATTTGCTCTTAAATCTAGCTCAAAGTCTCAGCAAAACTTCTTTATTAGTTTCCCTTTTTTTTTTTTTTAATGGCAACTGGCCCAAATAGGGATTGAAACCTGGCCCTTGGTGTTATCAACACCTCGCTGTAACCAACTGAGCTAACTGGCCAGTCCAGTTTTCCTTTTGTTGTTTCCAGTTTTAGAAATAAAATCAAAACTAAACTAATAGGAATAAAACTCTTGATCACGATGAGTCTACACATTACCCTAAGCACTGGAGACAATAGTGTTTCCTAATCCCCACGCTCTAGAAAACCTTGAAACTATACAATGCTCATAGAACAGTACAAAGAGTTAAGAAATAATTATATAATAATTATAATTATATTAATACTATTGAATCTGTACTATGTGGCAGGCATGGTATCAAGGATTATTTTTAATGTATCATCTCATTTAATCCTCATAATAATCTTATGATGCAGATACACTATTATTAGTTTCATTGTACAGATAAGGAAAACAGGTGTAGATAAGTTCACCCCTCACTGCTATATGTACTCCATACACATTTTATAAGTATTAAATAGCTGTGATGAGGCCTGTGTTGCTCTGGCCTTAAAGAAGCTTCTTAGATTCTCTGCAGAGAAGAGGCTTACCCAGGTGGTGGCTTCAAACATTTTGAGGTCCAGAGGATCTCCTTGGATGGTCCCATCAAGAAGGATCAGAGAATGGCAGCTGGCCATGGCCGCACACAGCGGACCCCATGGCAAAGCCTTGCCTGAGGCAAAGCTGTGGACTTCCTGGAAGCTAAAGAAGAGGGAAAGAATGTCAGCCCTCTCTGCTCATGCCAAAATGGAGCATCTTGGAGGTGAACATCTTTTGAAAAAATAATTTAATATGCTTTGTTGCGTTACATACCCAATCTCCCATCCCTCCACATTAACAGTGCTTCATTCAGCCATCATCCTTAGGTAAGTTCACTGATTACGAGAAAGGTCTCAGAGTTTCTTTAAGCCCCTTTTTCTCTCTTTTCCTCATCCCTTCTCTGACATTTAATTTGAGAGGTATGAAAAGAACTAGAAATATCACCCTTAAGTCTAAGCTCCTCACCTCCCACCTCAACTACGAGACCACTCCTTTTCCAACACTGTGAGACAGAACAGACTAGCTCATACTATAGTTATTTTTGTATATGTGTATCTCCCTCAATTAATCCTTCAGGGAAGGGTTGTGTCTTCCTATCTTTCTCCCAACATATTTGATGTTTGGCCCACAGTAGATGGTCAATAAATGTATGAGTGAATGAATGAGTGAGTTTGTTACTGGAAAGCTGCAAGACCATAGTGGTGAAGAAATGAACACCAGAACATTTTTGAAAAAGGACATCTCCCTCTTCTACCCTGGTATCTAGTGTCCATATTGCAGCCATTATCCCCAAAGTTTCTTATGGAAAGTGGCCTCGTCTAAAATCTATTGAAATGCAACTCAAATGTCATATGCAGGATTCTTTCACTAATCCAGAGTGGAAGTCATTGAGTTAAGTCTCAGCCCCACTAGAGGAATGTCCTCTACAACCTCGTTGGTCAGCCCCTTCTAAATTGTGTAGCATAGTAGTTGCCCATCCTGTTTGGAGGACCTTTGAATGGCAGAAGGTTCTTCCTACATAGAGGCGATATCTGCTTCTTGGAGCCAGTCAGAATCTACTTGCTCTCCCTCCTCCACGTGTCCACTTCATGCAGATCTGTAGATCAGCTCGGCCATACTCCCCTTTATCCTACCTTCTACTGGGGTTACAGAGGAACCACTAGCTGTTCCTCCAATACACAGTTTTATCAGATCTCTCACCTGCCTAGTTACTCTTTCTTGGAAAAGCTTTTCTCATAGTTTGTTTTAAAAAGTGATCTCCAGGATCAGACTTATTTCTCATGCTATGGACACTACATTTTTTTAAATACAGCCTTAGGTTGCTCTGGCCTTTTGTTTTTGAAAGCATCCATACCAGAGTGTTAACTCATAATTCAGCCGTATTTCTTCCTGGCTTTTTCATTCAAGCTTCCTTTTGTCACACTAAGAATTCAAAAACCTCTTGGTTTATTATTGATCCTGTTGGTTATGTCCATTATTATGTGTCAAAAGAGTTATTATTAGTGGTTTACAACATGCCCCATGGTATTTTAGTAAACATCTGAAAGGAAGAGATCACCAACAGTAAGGTTAACACAGAAGCTTAAGCTCACACTGAAAAGAAAAACACAGACGAGGAAAAACTCATTTTTATGACACTTACACTATCATCAGTCTGTAATTCTGAGTATGTAACTCTGAGTTCCAGACGATTGGGCCATACTCTAATCAATCACAACACATGCACAGAGCTCTCTGTTATGATTTATCAAGCCCTGTTAGCCTTTCATCGTTCTTGAAGTATCTGGTGTATTAGTCAGGCTCTTTTTGGAACAGACAAGAATTATCAGAAATGAGTTCACCTCCACTAAGAAGATATTTAATAGCCTGTAATGAGTCATTTTTAGAAATAGTTTCCAAAGTTTTATAAATAATATGTCAATTCAATAAGTAAAACATTCAAAAGACAGAATATATTTAGATCATTTTAGATGAACAAACATTCACTGTGCACCTATTATATGTGCCTGGTACAGTACTATAACATCAGAAACACAAATATAAATTTTAAAAAGACTGCTCTCAAGATGTTCACATGTTTGAATAAATGCAAACATTTTTTGTAGAAGCTGAAACAGAAAAACACTAATGACCAAGGAGACAAGGTATATGAGAGTACTTCAAAATGTTTGTGGAAAAATAGAATTAAAAGATAATACAAACCTTTCCATGAACTTTTTGAGGTACTCTTGTATATACAAGTATATCTTATAGAAAAAATGAACTTTACAAAGTTTGAGATTTGTAAGAGGCTTCTTCTGTAGACTAAAGTGGTTAGATACATCAGGATTATTTTTTAACCCACGTGCTTATAAATAGTATTTTAATGTCACTGTATATTAGCCATGTTTAATTAAAAATATTTTATGGATAATTTGTATATCATCTGCATAACACAAAAGAACCACAATGTACCTTTTATGTGTAAAATGCTTTGTGATTTAGATTGCAAGCATTAGAGGGATATGCTTTCATTTTCAAACAAAACATAGATGTCAAATGCATCGTGTTTTGTGTTCTGTTCACACTAAAGGTCAGAGTGAGGAGAAAAAGCAGGCAGAGAAGCAAACTCAGACATGACCACAAGAGGGCCACGGGACAGGCAAATCTGTACCACACCATGCCGAAAACTGCCAAAATGGAGACTTTTCTTGCTAGAAAAGAGTTTTTGGCAGCCAGAAGGTGGAGTTCCCAGAATCAGAATACCAAGGAAAATGAGTACATTAGCTACAGTTCCACAGATGTTCCTCTTCCTGAAATTCAGGTCAACACTCAGTGCAGTGTACAAGGAATGCCACCTCCTTGAAGGACAGTGCCTTGGTGCTTTCCAAATTATTTATACTGGGCCTATGTCAAGCCCCTGATGAATATGCTGAAAGCAAATTACATTTTAGCAAGAATTTGAATGCAGTGTCAAAACTTCCTCTTCATCTCCTGGGTTTGTGAGTGGCATGGAGCTAGGGATGGGGTGGGGAAAGTACGCATGTTTTAGTGAGACTTGGAAGCATTCAAGAGGAGAAATTAAATGAAGATTCTTTAGCAATCAATGTTCACCAAAGCCAGAACCCAAATGTCTCCATTAGTAGTTTCAAGAGAAAACTTGGAATTCTGAAAAAACCAAAACTACAATGCATTGAGTTCAAGGTACTCACCCATTCTTATCACAGGGCACGAGTCCCCAGAGATCCAAGCCATCCCTCGTTAAGGTGCCTGTCTAAACAGAAACAAACACTCGGCATACACTGAAGACCTGGTGGCCCTGTAGTGAAGACCCCATAGTGAAGACAACTATGGTATGTTTTAATAGCAAAATATACATCACAATCATACTATCAAGATCAGCACTTCAAAGAGGGTCACAATAAGGTGGATCTCTGGAGTCCTGAGCAGAAGCTATGATGAGTTCAGACTAGTTGTATGACAAAGTGGCACTTAATCTCTTTGAACATTAGTGTCCTCCATGGTAAGAAGAAGAAAATGGCATCTCCCTTAAACACTTCAGAACATTGTTTTGAGTATTAAGGGTAGATTGAATGGATGAGAAAGTCCTTGGTAAGCCTATAAGAGCTATGAAATGGGTGAGACCCAGTTTTTATAGTAGAAGCAGAAATATGTCATCAGAAATAAGTAATGGAGTAAAATGTTTACCTACAGGGCACTGTTTGTGGAAAGACTCTAAAGAAATGGTTTGCCATTTGATACCTTTGGTAAAAGGGTGTTTGTTGGTATTTCTCTCCATGTGGGATTATGGTTAAGAGCTCAGACTGGGTTCAAATGCCTGCTGTGTAACCTGGGCAAATTGCTTAATACCTCTAAACATCAGAACCTTTGTCTGTAACATGGTCATAGTCTCACACAGTTGTTGGGAACATTAAATGAGATAGTATAAAGTGCTTAATGTAATATCTAGCATACAGTAAGAGCCAATAATAATAATTACAATTATTACTCATTCTTTATTCAGATTCACATCGCTCCCACCCCTGTTTCTTTTTCCAAGTCCAGGGACATAATCTCATAAATAGAACGTCTTTCCTCATGGTGCTAGTTAAATCACAAAATAATGTTGAAATAATGTGGTGGCAAGATCTATGTTAACCTTCTATTCTTGGTAGATCTTTCTGATACTCCAGTAATTATAAAATACAGTTCTGATCCCATTAATTCTCTATCACAACCTTCAACATGTTGTATAATGGGTACAAAGTTTCAATTTGGGAAGAGAGAAAAAGTTCTCAAGATTGATGTTGGTGATGGTTGCAGAACAGTGAGAACGTTCTTAATGCCAGTGAACTGTACACTTAAAAATGGTTAAAACAGTAAATTTTATGTTATCTATACTATACCACAATATAAAAATAAATTTAAAAAAAGTGGCAACAACAAAAACAAAGCCTATAATGGCTCCCTGCTGCTTAAAGTATATATAAAAATGTATTAGCCTTGGGCCGGCCCGGTGGCGCACTGCTACAGTGCGCCGCTTGGGAAGCGTGGCAGCACTCCCGCCGAGGGTTCGGATCCCACATACAGACCGGCCGCTCACTGGCTGAGCGAGGTGCGGGAGCAGCACCGAGGGTTGCGATCCCGTTGCCGGTCCCGGTCCGGTACGGGCGCGACACTGAGGGTTGCGATCCGTTGCCGGTCACGAAAAAAGACAAAAAGGAAAAAAATAAAAATGTATTAGCCAGACATTCGAGGTCCAGACATCTTCTCCCGTTACTAATGTCCTGCTCTCCATGCCTTTGCCTGTGCTCACCTGCCCACATGCCCTTCACTGTCATCTTATCCTCTCACAACTCTTACCTCCACCCCAGCATACATGTGCACAGACTGAAAAAACATACACTCATGAGAAGGCAAGATCAGAGGCCGGCTGGAAATAACTGGCATATGATTAAGAGTAATTTTAAGCAATAAACTACAGCTGGAAAAATACAGTAAGGGTTTGATATGGGACTTTATTGTAATCAATTCTCACGGTAAGACACAGTTTAATATAGTCTTCCTTTTAAGTTCATTCATTAACTTGATAAATATTTATTGAGCACTGACTATACAATCAGGTAATATTACTAGTATTAGCAATATAGCAATAACCATAGTAAAGAGCTTAAATTTTGTTCTTTGTATGAGGGTTTTGACTGTGCAGGAACTGGATGCTATTTTAATTCATTGCTTCTCATAGAATATTGCAGCTGGAAGGACCCTAAAAGATTCATCTATTTAGTACCAATTTTCCCTTCTCTAAATCCCAGAATCTGAGATCTCAAGAGATGTACCTTTCTCAGATGACACACCCAACCAGAGATGGAATGTAGTCAGATTCCCATATCCTACATTTCCTGCCTCCCACGAGAGTAAAAGCACCTATACGTGACCACAGTGATGGAGGAGGGAGGGAGGCTTTGGTGATGGGACACAATAACTAACTACATTGTATATTGACAAAATAAAAATTAAAAAAATAAAATAAAATAAAATAAAAAATAAAAAAATGGCAACAAAGTGAGGATGAAACACACATACCTTGTCAAAGCAGACAAGGTTTAATTGTCCACACACGTTGATCCTCTGGGGGCTAATGCAGAAGATGCCTTTCTTCTTCAGCCTCCTCTGGGCATAGATAATGCCCGTGGTCAGAGCTGCAGGCAGAGCAGGGGGAACAGCAATTGTGATGACATCAAGGGCTTTCTTTACCATCTCCTCGGGAGGTTCCTGGAAGACAGTCATTCTTTAGCTATTCCACATAAATCGGTAACGAATAGCTCTGTGCATATGTCTTTTTTTTTTCTTTTTTGTTTACTTTTTTATGTCAAATTTCTAAAAATGAAATCAGTGTGTCAAAGGGTCTGACCATGTTTATGGCTCTCAGTATCTTTTGCCAAAGTGCAATGAAAAGGCTCATTACAATTCCTACTGCTTGCAGCAGAGAGCAATGTACCAGTTTTCCATGACCTCACCAACACTGGGTATCTGATTTTTTAAAAATTTCTAAAATAAATATATTTTCAGATTGAAAATGAAAAAAAAAATGATGTGTGGAAAAGTGTGCAAGAATAGAGGCATGTTATCTCAATAAACAAATTGCTTTATCCCACTGTCCTACGAGATCTTATTGTTATTAGGGAATTCAGTGATCAATTGCTTATATTGGGGAACTGGGCATCTATAAGCAGGTTTCAGTGTTTGGCTTTGTTTCCCAGGTCTTTAAACCATGTGCTAGATTAAGGTCAACATGTGGAGTATAAAATATACACAGATGAGTGTATGCGCGCGTGTTATAAAAGAACAAAGGCAGCTTACCCCACTGAGCACATAGACACACAGAGTATAGATCATCCCAATGGTGGCTGTCCCCACAAGGCACAGGAGAAACCTGATGGCATCCCTGTAGAGCTTAAAATTCATTGGCTTGGGATAGAGAATGGATCTCACAAGGTCCCCCTTTGCAGTGCTGAATCCTGAAACAGTGAACATACATCCCACGCTCTCAGAGTGACAAATCCTACTGCTAGTGCTCTTCTAAACCCCAAATTTACCTTTGTTTTTCTCAAAAGATATTTAAACAGTGTTAAACCCAAAGGAAATTAAAGGATAATTGAGAAAATATGTTAAATGCTAAGATAAAAAATATCTTTCTTATTTCCGAGCCTAGTACTCTCTCTGGCTTTCCTTCCTTCATTCCCAATTTTAATGCATCTGAGAGATAAGAAACCACCATACTGGGGGCAGAGCACAGCTTTTCAAAATATAATTTTATTATAAGGAAATGACTCATGAGCACATATGCCCATGTGGGCATACATTCACACATGTCACTTGAATTAAGATTAAATGGCCTGGTAAATACTGATAGACTCACTTTTCTAATACTTTTCAGCGTTAAGTTTTCAGTTTCTAGACCTGCCCAAAAAAAACTCAGAATGTGGGGTTAGAAGACTCAAGTTCTAAGTCCAGCTCTGTCAGTTACTGGCTGTGTCATTTTTAAAAGTTCACATGAATTGTGTGCCCTCAGTCTATTCCTGTAACAGTAGGCATCTTTATTCTGCTGGTTTAATATGTAGAAATAGTTTATAAACTGCAAAGCACATAACTAGTAGTAATTGTCATGAGTATCGTTATCTTTACTAAAAGGCATGTGCTATATATTTCAAATAGCATTTAAAACATACAGATTTACATATATTTGGTTTGTTATCTAAAGACTTTTCTTTACCTAATAAATTTAAGGCACTACACAAACTGAGCAGAAATATTTCACTACAAATAACAACACAAAGTAGAGGATGCGCACCAGTCTGCAAAACCACTGCTCTCACGGCCCCAGAACAAGCCGCCTTGGCCTGGATAACCTCCGTCCCACAGAAGAGGACATGCCGTTTGTAATCCGCTTCTCTCTGTGTTTTCCAGGGCACAGAGCTATCCAGCTTGGGTAGTGGAGTTTTAGTGACTGGAATACTTTCTCCTATAGAAAATAAACATATTGTTTTGTGAGGTGGGATGCCTTCACTCATTTAAACCATGCCTGCGCTCACTCACCATACAAAAGACTTTGCTGAGACCACCGTGTATTGAAACAGCCCTAGTTATTGGGGATACAAGATTAAACATAGTTCTTGTTTTTAATGGGTCTATAGCTTAGAGAGCGAGATAGAATGTAAGCAAATAAGTATAATGCTGTATTATAAATATTATGAATATTGCAAACCAGACATGGAGGCTAAAAATAACCACTTAGGGAACAGCAAGCTGTCCCATCTAGCACATGGGGTGTGGGGATTAAAGGGCCAAGAGAAAGCACTATGTAGGAGCCAAAGCATGGAGAGCCCTGAGTGTAACAGTTTAAGTCTTTAAACATTTTTCTATAGGCACCGGTGATGGAAGGGGGATGCGGGGGATTTAACTCTTTAATCAGGAGAGTACTATCACATTTTTATCTAAGAGAGAGCATTCTGTCCACAGTACAGGGAATAAATTGAAGTATGGTAAGGTTGGAGGCTGGACATCCAGTTGGGAAATGATCACAAGAGTCCCAGCTGGAGGGGATGAGGTCTGATCTACGGCAGCTGGCAGTAGGAATAGAAATGAAGTGCTGGATTCAAGAAACAAGGAAGTAAGAAGCTACAATACTTGAGGAAATTTTTGTATTGGCAGGTCACAGGGGCAGAGGAATTTAAAATGGCTGCCTGGTTCCCGACTTGGGGGAATGAGAAGAAAGTGACATTATTCAGCAACACAGGGCTTGTAGGAAGAACGAATCATCGTTTGGTAACCACGAGTCGGAGCTGCCTTGTCGAATGGCAATGTCAAGAAGCCTTATAGGCAGATAGATATTCATTTGGATCTGGAGCCCAGATGAGAGGCTTTGACTAGATATTTAGCCAGAGCTTATCAGCTGATACACAATAATTAAAGCCACAAAAAAAGGCAAGCTTACTTAGGGACCAAGTGTAGGGTAATAAGAGGAAAGGACAAGGACATAGCCCTGAGCAGACCAACAGTCAAGGAGATGGAGGAAGAGGAGCAGCAGAAAAAAAACCGAACATGCTGGTCAGGGGTAGAAGAATTTGGAGCGAGGCGTTGTCTTAGAAAGTTGGGAGAAGAGAGTATTCAGAAGGAGAGCTGGCCAGAATAGTCAAATACAGAAGAGAGGTCAATAAGAAGAGGAATTTAAAGAAGCCATTGGATTTGGCAATTGAAACGTAGGTGACTTTTGCCAGTGCAGCAAGAGGGGCTTATTGCAGCAGGTCGAAGCGCTAATACAGGCAATGAATGAAGTTGTGAAAGTACCTATGGCCTGTTCTGAGGAACGAGATTGCAAAGCCTCCACTGGTCTTTCTACTGCAGAATGGACAGTACAAAGTCAGAGTGAACAGTCCAGGATACTAGGGCTCCTTTCCTTAGGAAAATGGTAGTTGGTGTTGCAAAATCCCAGTATTAAGGGATTTTTGTGAATATATGGATTCTTGAGGGAAAGAAACCTGACTTGCCATGACCTGCCATGACCTGCTGTGACTTGCTGCACATTTTTTTTGTAAGTTCATATAGGATGAAAATGAGCATTTTGTCTCCATTTCACGCCTTTCTGATTTGCCTGGGAGAAACGGATTTGATTCGAACTTCAATCGGAACCACAATGTGTCCATGCGTACTCACAGCCCCCGCTTCATCTCTGAAAAAGACTTTATGAGTCTTCTTTATCTCACAAAAATGATGGCACAACATCTCATCATTATGCTTTGCAAGTGACAGATGACAGCAGTGTAACCTTGAGCAAGTCCCTTCTCCTCTCTGGACTTCAGTTGCCACATCTGTGAAGTGAGATGGCTTCTAAGGTCCCTCCCAGCTCCAGCATGCTATTTAAAAATGAAATATAGTTACCCGGTATGTATTTTGGAAGTAGCAGATCTGCCAAAGGCTTTACCTTGAACTTTTTAAGAGTTTCAAGCCAAGCCAGAAAGAGCTTGGTCTACCCTGTGGGTTTCAGGATGTCATTGATGGTTTTCAAACCCTCCAAGTTTATCTGAAGACATAGTTTACATGAAAATACTAAATAAAAGTCACAGACAATTCTGAAGGATCAAATGATCTCTGCAATCTTAAGGTAAAACGAAAGGGCTGCAATAATCCTTCACTCAATAAGGAAATGCTAAACACCCAAAAAGTTATGATTATATCAAACAGCACATAGAAAGCATCTTTAATTTGAATGGCCAGATCCATTCACAGCAGGACTAAGTAAGATTTGTGGAAACAGAAAGGTCCCACAGCAGCTCCCTACTTTGAAGCGAGCCATTGTCATTCAGGTAGAGGAGGAGCCAGGAGCATCATAGCAAGGAGCCTGGGACAGCCCACAGAGGCTGTAGGCTGTGGAGATAGGAGCATACCTGTCAGCATGCCTTCGTCTGCCACACAGCTGCCATCAATCAAAATGGCATCACATGGCATTTGAACTTTGTTCCCCATCAAAATTAATAAATCTCCAGGCACCAGGAAGCGTGACTCCAGCTCTTGAATTCCAGCTGACAGAGTGGGAAGACAGAGTTGAGTCAGGTTATTTTTCCACAAAAACACAGTCTAACCTCTATTTAAGTTGGAAATCAATGAAAAAGCAACCAGGGCATTTACAAAAAAAGGAGAATTTCCTCATTATTGATTAAAAATCTGGAAACAAAAAAAGATAACATTTACATTAAACTGTGTAAAATAAACAATGTAAAATAGAAACCTTTGTGTGGCACAAAAATAAATAAGCAAAAAAAAAAAAGGAACTGATGACAAACAGAAAACATATTTGAAACTTACAATACAGACAAAAGATCAATATTCCTAATATATAAAGAGTTCCTTAAAAAGAGATGTATCTCAAATAACTGTACAGCAAAATTGCTACATATTAATAGTTCACACACATAACACACACACGAATTCAAGTGTCGTGCTAAACATTTGAAAAGCTGTGTTGGAGTGAGCAGGACTGAAGCCATGTTGGTACCTAAAACCACATGGACCGTAGGCAAATTTTAAAAGGACACAGTTTTTTTCTTGGCATTCATTTCTCTGAGTTCCCTCTTTTCCCATACCTATTTGATATTTTGAACCTTGGTTAGGGGCGAGATGACATTTTTTAGATGAATGTAAAGTTATTTTCCAGCCCTCCTAGAGCTGCAGACTTGCCAGGAGGCATATACTATCCAGACCCTGAGATAGCAAAGATGGGAACAGAAACCAAAGTCTTAGAGAGACCTTCCACCTGACTCCTTGCACGGAGCTCCCACAGCTCACCTCTCTCTCCCTCCCTCCTGCTTTTCATTTCCCACGCTCCATTATCTCAACTGCTTCTTTAAACACCCCTCGGTAAGCCTGAGTCTTTGAGATGTCTTTAGTCTGGCCGTTCTCCTTCGGGTTTACCGGAGAGATGGGTGAGCCTAACATCTCTCCTCAGGTCAACTGGTATTCCTGAATAAAAGCTGACTTCCTTTTTCACCAACATTTGACTTTTGACTAGTTTGCTTTTAAAAGTGGGAAGGCAGCCAGACCTGTGCCCAATAATAGCTGTATATTCTTACTCATAATAAGACAGATGAAAATTAATTTCTTCTTTCCTTCCTGATTGCCTGACTGCCTTTATTTCTTTCCTTCCTTATTCAGTCCTAGAGCTGTTATGGAGCTGAGCAAGACAGGTATCCATGTAGGGCGCTGGGTGGGTGGGTGAGTGGCAGCCTGCTGTGGGTTTTGGAGCCTAAATAGGATAGAAGTGTGTTTACATGGCCTGGTACAGGGTGTCAGAGCCTGAGCAGGGAGAGAAGGGCCCCCATGGTGGCAGTGGCCTGCTATGGGATGTTGGGGTCCAAGCAGGGTGAAAAGGTGTCTATATGGGAGGGGATGAGGGCAGTGGAAGCATCAGCAGTGATGGAAGATAGGTAACATCCAAGCAGAACTGATACAAAAGTAGATACATTGAAAAGGCCAAGTTTCTCACTGAAGAAAGCAGGTTACAAATATAGAAAGACATAAAACTAGAATGAATCCTGTGGTACTGATTTAGAATTGGAGATATCAGGGTAGTAAAGAGAGAGAGAAATAATATAGATGTAAATGTGTACAGATATAAGAACATATACAAATTTAACATGTTCGTTTATACATATATTCTTTAATTCTGTCCTTTGAAAGGGTCTAGAATCAGTGGAACCCCCCAAATAATGAGCATATCCAGTGCCCAAATTTGGGTGTCTAAATTCCATTCCCTCTGCCCCTGCAAAAAGAACCAGAGTTCTTTAGAAAAATGGCTAATTACAAGGCTGGGCCAAGAAAAGTGTGATATAAGCTAGAACACCTTGTTGTGCCATTACATAGGCAAATGCTCAAAGAATGGCGGAGACACATCAAAAAGATATCACAGCCAACTTAAAGGGCCCTGGCTGCCTAAATCTGTAACAATATAAGCATCAAAGTAAATAACAATAATAAAGAACTGTAACTATTGAACAAAGTAGGGATTCATGAGTCCTTAATAACGTAAGTAAATGAATAAATAAATGAGGGAAAAAGATAGCTTTTCCTTACAGCAAAACTTCAATTAACAAATGTAGAGGGAAAGATAAAATTGGAATATTATCATTCGGCAACTATTGAAGTAATAATTAATTTAGCCAAGAAACATCAATAGATAGTAAAACTGGTGGGTGAAAATTTGATGAAGATGGTTTACACTCTCAAAGTATCTCTCAACAAAATAACTATTAATTGCAAAGGGAAAAAGTAAATTTACAATGGAGAAACCTAGTAGACACCATTTAATTAAGTAATTCAAGTTAACATCACCAGTAATAGGACAAATTTAAATTATGTACCATCTGAGAGGAAGCAGTGAGAACACAGCATCATGTCTGAGATATTTCAGCCAAAAATGCATAACCTGAATTGAAATATTAGGAAACATCAGATAAAGCCAAATTGAGGGACATTCTACAAAATAACCAGAGTCAGAAGAGTCAAGGTCATGGAAGTCAGGAAAGGATTGAAGAAAATTAAAGAGACACGGCAACCAACAGCATTATGTGATCCCGGATCCCTTTTCTACAAGGAACATTATTGAGACAACTGGCAAAACATGAATGAGGTCTGACAATTAGTTGGTAATAATGTGTCAATATTAACTTCCAGATTGTGCTGCTGTTTATGTAGGAGAATGTCCTTGTCTTTAAGAAATACACATTGAAGTATGCTGCAGTCTTGGAGCCTCATGTCAGCAACGTATTCTCAAATAGTTCTGGAAAAAAGTTATCTGAACTGTTTTTTGCAACTTTTCTGTAAGTTTTAAATCATTTCCTAAAAACAGTAAGAGAAAATGCACAAGCAAACACCGCTCACCTATTTCATTAGAAGAATCTAAAAGTTTGCCAACATACTCTATTGGCAAGGCTGCGAGAAAATAGGCACTCACACATTTCTGGTGCAAATGCAAACTGGTGCAATCTCTATGGAAAGAAATTGGGCAATATTTATCTAGTAAAAGTTTGTAAGCATTTATTCCTTAACCTAGCAATTTTACTCCACAAAGTCTATAACAAAGACAAACTGGCAAAAATATGAAAAGACTTATGCACAATACTTTTTATTATAGCACTTTGATTGAAGTCTCTAAGTATCATGTCTAAGGACTCTGGAAAAATTGATGTGTCCAAGTTTAGAGCAGGAATTGTCCCAATGAGTTTAATAAAACTTTCAATGACTATTGGAGTCATCTGAAAAGAACTCAGGACCTAATCTAAAGACATTCTCAATGGCAAAAAACAAGACAATTTGAGCAAAAATAGGACTAAAAACTCTAATGGATGGAAATGCAAAATAGTTAAGGACAGGTTTTTCTCTTTAAAAAAAAGTCCCACTCAATATAAGAAAATGGCATGACAGCAGTAAAAAGCATTCTCTCCACTACTGTATTTGTAAATGTTCAATGTGTTTTATCATAAACTTAGGACGAGAAAATGACCAAGATATTTTTAAAAGGTGAAAATTCACTTCCAACCAAGATGGAATAAAAAGGACCAGATTTACCTTTCCACTTGAAACAACCAAAAATCATACAAGATATATGAAACAATGGTTTTTAGACCCTGAACATCAAGCAGTAAAAGAGACAGGAAACAAGTGAAGGTGCTCTATATTTGCCCAGCTTACTTCTTTAGAGAGTTTCCCAGCCACTGTGCAGGGAGGGAAAACCCAGAGAAATTCCAGAGGACTCCCTGAGTTCAGAACTCAAAGAAGAGAATCTGTGGAGACTGTGGAAGCTTGAGTTCACAGAGCAGACTCCTAGAGCAATAACTGCCCAGGGTGAGAGCTGCAAAGGTCTGCAGACGCTCCCCTTTGGTATGTAGCAGACTGCAGATCAGCACATGCACATGAGGGAACTACTAAAAAATGAATACTTGAATGTTTACATTTAAAAATATCATTTACGATAGCACCAAAAATATGAAATACTGAAGAGTAAATCTGAGAAAGAATGTGTAAAACCCATAAACTGAAAACTGCAAAACACTGCTGAAAGAAAACAAAGAAGACCTAAATAAATGGAGAGATGTATCATATCCATAGGGAAAAAGATCCAAATTTGTTAATATGTCAATTTTCCACAAATTGTTCTATGATCAAAATCCCAGCATTTTTTTTTAAAGAAATTGGCAAGTTGATTCTGAAAGTTATATGGAAGTGCGAAGGGCCCAATATCATCAAAATAACTCTGAAAAAGAACAAACCTGGAGGACTAGCATTATCCTATTTCAAGACTTATTATAAAGCTACATTGCATGGCATTGATATAAAGACAGGCAAATAGATCAATAGAATACGACGGGGAGTACAGAAATAGATTCACCTATATATAGATGACTGATTTTGATAAAATGTAAAGACAATTCCTGAAGAAAGGATAACCTTTTCAAAAAGTGGTATTGGAACATTTGATATCTATTTTCAAAAGATGAACTTCAATTCAAAACAAGCAAAAAAACCCCAAAAAACTTAAAAAGAAAATTTAAAATACAATATAAAACTAAATATAAAAACGAAATCTATAAAACTGTAGAAGACAATGTAGAAAATCTTGATTAACAAATGTAATTGTTTCTTTATGATATTTGCTGATTCAAGGCATTATTTGAAAGAGGCATTTTAGAAAAACAATGGATACAACTGGGACTATCTGGTGAACCAGAATACTCTGTTTTGCCAGAGTACACACAGGTTTCAATGCTAGCCTAGGTATGCCACTTTGACCTATCTGATGATCTCAGATTAGACAACGATGTCTCAGATATGATATGAAAAGAATGATCCACAAAGAAAAAATTGATAAACCAAACATTAACCAAAGTAAAAAAATCTGTCCTTTGAAAAATGGTGTGATGAGAATAAAAAGATAGACTTAAATAAAAACATAAACTAAGAGAAAATATTTACAAATCAAATGTCTGATAAAGGACTTGTTTCCAGAATATAGAAGGAACTCTCAAATTTAATAAGAAAACAATATAACAAACAAAAGATTTGAATGAAGATTTGAACTTCACTGAAAATGATATACAAATGGCAAATAAGCACTTGAAGAGATGTTCAATGCCATTAGTCATTAGAGAAATGCAAATTAAAGTGGCTAAAATGAAAGAAATTGACCATACCAAGTGTTACCAAGAATATGGAGCAACTGGAACTCTCATACTCTGCTGGTGGGACTGTAAAATGGCATAACCACTTTAAAAAATGGTTTTGCAGTTTCTTAAAATGTTAATCATCTATCTATCATATGAGCTGGCCATTCCACAGCCTGGTATTTTTCCATAAGAGATGAAAGTGTATGTTCATGCAGATACCTGTGCCCAAATGTTCATGGCAGCATTATTTTTGGTTTTGCAGTTTCTTAAAATGTTAATCATCTATATCATATGAGCTGGCCATTCCACAGCCTGGTATTTTTCCACAAGAGATGAAAGTGTATGTTCATGCAGATACCTGTGCCCAAATGTTCATGGCAGCATTATTTGTAATAGCCAAAAACTAGAACCCAGCTATCCATCAACAGGTGAAGGGATGAACATACTAGTTATCCATACAATGGGATACTCTCAGGAATAAAAAGAAATGAACTATTAATACATTTAACAAAGTAGATGAATCTTGAAATAATTATGAACTTTGATCCTCCCCCCAAATTAATCCAAAATATATTATGAGACCAAAAAAATGCATACTGTACAATATCATTTATATAAAATCCTAAACATGGAAATTTATAGTGACAGAAAGCAAATAAGTGATTGCCTGAGATAAGGGATGGGTGGAGGGAAGGATTAAAATCAAGCACAAGGCAACTTTTGGATGTAATAGACGGTCATTATCTTGATGATGGTGATGGTTTCATGAGTGCATACACACGTTAAAGCTTATCAAATTGTATTCTACAAATATGTCCAGTTTATCATAGGTTAATTCTACCTCAATAAAGTAGGATTTTTTTAAGGTGAAGAAATCTCAAGTTCTTCACCCCTTTAAGCAAATGCACAAGAAAAGATGTGTGAGGATGGTAGTAGCAGGAGCAATCAGAAATAGGAGGGTACTTCAAAAATTCATGGAAAAATCGAATTAAAAAATAACACGAATCTTTCCATAGACTTTTTGAAGTATCCTCATACAAATTCAGATCAGTTCTGATTCCATATAGACAACACATAAATCTAAAATAATGGAACTTACCTTTTCTCCTACATACAGAAACCGTGATGCTGTTATGTGACTCAACTAGACGGTGGAGTTTTACAGATTGCTGAAAAAGAAGGGAAGATAGAAAAGGCTTATCTATTTGTGCATGGGTCCCAGGTGTTATTCAGTAAGGTGCTAGCTTTCATTAAATATGGAGCACTGTCTTCTTGTCACTAAATGTATGGGCTAGAAATAAAGAACTGAGTAGCCCGTTACTCAAATGAAAAAGCATCCAACTTATAAGTAATAAGAAGTATGTGTTCTTTAGCTGAAAGGAATTTCCCAGCACACTTTTTCCACTCAGAGGAGTTTTTGAAAACCACAAATATGTGTTTAGTTCTTTAAGTAGGTAAGACAGAGTCAAGAGCATGTATCATTCAAGATATGTGTTTATACCTAATAGCTTGAAGAACCAAGCATTATTTCAGCTTTGGGCTGTCCCACATCAGTTTCTAAACTATAACTTTGCAAGAAGTTTGGTGGTTCCTCCTGTTTCCTCATAGTATTTGTTGTAATATACAAAATGCATGGGACAATGAGAGTGAACCAGTAAGAAGAGACAAAGGAAATATATAATAAATTAAATTTGATTTCACATTTATTGAGAAACTATCTTATAAAAGATCTCCTACCTAGTTCTGGAGGTTAAGTCTCAATAATTTGTGTGTTCATTTTTATATCCTGATTTGGGCATTTAAGACACTTCCTAAATCTCTTAGCTTAAAATTATCTACATATCTGATCAATATGTACTAAGAACGATTGATAGAATAAGGTAAGGTCAAAGATAGGGTGTTCTGCCATTAACTCATTCTTTTATTCATTTGTGCATTCACTCAACAAACATTTATTGAGCAACCTTTAATATGCCTGGGATTATGCTAAAGGGGGAGTTAGAATGGTAAACAAAAGAAATATAGTTCTTACTATCACGGAATTTACAACCTACTGAGAGAAACACATTTTAATCAAATAATCATGTGTGTAAATGCATAATTACAATCAGTAATAAGAAGGAAAAAATAAGGTGTTTTGGGAGCTTATATAGCAAAGGGAATCAAGAAAAATCTTCTATGAAGAAGTGACACTGAATCCAAGACCTGAGCAGGAGTTATTTAGTCGGGGGGTAAGGGCAAGTCATAGAGATGAAAAGAAAAGACAATTCCAGGTGACATGCTCAAATGCTCTGAGGCTAGGAAAAAATAATATATTTCAGGAAACAAAAAGACTAGAGTAGCAGGAGGGCAAAAAGCAAGGGAGAGGCTGGGTTTATGAAGGCTGGAGAAATAAGAAAGAGCAGCAGTTACAAGGTAGACCAGTGGTCCTCAGAGAGTGGTCCAAGGATTCCTCGGGTTTTCCAGAACTTCTCACAGGGGCTGAGAAAGTAAAACTATTTTCATTAATTGGCTTCTTAAATCTCGTTCTCTCACAAGTATACGGTGCAGTTTTCCACAGGCTGAATGCTGTGTAATATCTCAATAGATTGAATGTAGAAGCAGTTATAAGAATCCGGTTGTCTTCTCTTAAGCCAAACATTCAAAGAGATTTGCAAAAATATAAAATAATGCAATTCTTCTCTCTACATTATTTTCATTTCAGAAAAAAAGTTATTGTCTACAAATATGTATTTTACATTAACGTGTAATGAGGTTATTATTATTTTCAAATGAATTAATAAATATTTTATGATTCTGTTTTAATTTATAAGATAGTAAGTATCAATAGATATTACCCACAAAAATAAAAACTCTTTGCGGTCCTAAATGATTTTTAAGAGTGTAAAGGGTTCTGAAGAGTAAAAAGTTTGGGAACTTCTGAGGTACAGTCTTAAAGGCCATGATGAGATTTAGAAGTTTATTGTAAGATCGATGCAAATACTTTTAAGAATTTGGTGGTGAGAGTATGTATTTTGAAACCATGGCTCAGCCCACTGCATGGAGAATGTGTTGGAGAAAGGCAAGGACGAATGCACAGAGACCAGATGGGAGATGATCACCAGGCAGGAGCTGATGGTAACTTGGACCACGATAGTGATAGGATGGGAAAAAGTGAATGATGCCAGGAGATATCTGGGAAGGAAAATCAATAGGACTTGCTGCATAATTTGAGAGGAAGAGAAAAGAAAGTTTCAAGCCAGGCAGCAGCTGATGGTAACTTGGACCACAATAGTGATAGGATGGGAAAAAGTGAATGATGCCAAGAGATATTTGGGAAGGAAAATCAATAGGACTTGCTGCATAATTTGAGAGGAAGAGAAAAGAAAGTTTCAAGGATGACAACCAGATTTCTGGCTTGCGTTACTGAATGGTCAGTGGTGTCTATTACCAAATCAGACAAGCCTGAAAGTGCAGATCTGGGAGAAGAGTCCTTGAGTTCTGTGTTGAATGTGTTGAATTTAAGGTAATTTTTGGATACTAAACTGGGGATATCAAATAAGTTGTTGAATCTATGAGTCTAGAACTCAAAGGAGACATTTGGACTTGAGATATATATGTATAAATCTGAATGTTATTAGCATGTACCCTTAGAAGTCACTAGCATATGCAGCTATAAAAATAATGAAGAATCTCCTATGTATGTACATGAAAACTGCCCCAAGACATATTAATAATAGTTTTTAAAAACAGCTAGGTAGAAAAAAAATGTAGTTATGCTACCAATTGCATAGAAAAAAAGAAAAAGATATATGAATTTGTATTTGCTTCATTTGCCTAAAAATCTTTTTGGAAAAATGCACGAGTAACTAATAACAGTAGTTGGCCAAGTGGAAGGTGAGAGAGAGGAAGACAGAAACTTTACACCGCATGCATTTTCACATTGTTTTGATTCTGAGCCACCCATTAAAAAAAAAAAGAATGGAAAAGAGCAACTGGAGAGGATGGAGAGTGTATTGCCATTCTCCATCGAAGGGAAAGAGCGCTTCCGAAGGAATGGATCAGTCAACTGTGTCAAACCGTGAGAGGTTTAGTGAAATCTGTACTGGGCAGGGGGAACTGTCCACTGCAGGGGGACCATAACATCAGCAAGCAAGACACCAACAACCCAATAAAAATAAATAAAGGACACAAGTAGTTCACAGTAGAAGAAATGCAAATAGCTTAAAACATGAGGAATGCTCAACTTATAATGGAAAACATGACATTAAAGTTAAAGAATTCTATTTTCACTGTATTGGCAAAGATAAGGGAAACAAACACTCATCTACTGTTCAAAGGAGTATACATTGGTACTACTTTTTTAAGAGACTTTTTTACAACATTACTAAAATAATGCACCTGGCTTATGACTAAGTAATTCCAAGTACAAAAATGTTATATCCCCATATCAATATGGATATATATAAGCATAAATGTACTTGATATATACATACTTATGTGTAATATAAATTACATATACTTGTAATTTAAATGTATGTAATGTGTGTGTATATGCATGAAAACATGCATATACACACACACATTTTGTAGATGCATGAAAACATGTGCAAGGATGCTCAATGAAGCATTGTTTTACTAGCAAAAGACTAGAAACAACCTAAATATCTATCAATATATTGATTAAAAAATTATGGTACCTCTAGAGAAAATATATTTGTGCAGATATGGAAAGATATTCAAGATATATTCATGAAATTCAAGTGGAGAATGGTGTACATAGTGTACTTCCATTCTGTAAAACAAATTAATGCATATGCATTTAATATTGCTAAAAGTACACATGACATCTGGTCCCAGTAGATGCTTCTTGAAAGGAAATCTGAACACTGGAAAGTTCCCCCAGTGGGAGGGATCCTTAATTTTCAGTCACACTATTTTTTTCTATGGAGTTTATTTTTATCATACCCATATATTGCTCCTTCTATTAAGAAAAAACTAGCAAATTAACAACATTTTTTAAAAGTTTTTAAAACTATCTATGAGTTTTAGGATTATAGCAGTGACCTTAAACAACTAGAGTTGTTTAAATGGAGTCATAAGAGAGGAAGCCAGGTCCACATGAGTGAACAGAGAGAGGGACACAGTAAGCAATGAAAGTGGGCATAAAGACTCAAGAAGTTTTGCTAGAGAAGGGAGAAGAGAGAGAGAGTACTAGCCAAAGGTAGAAACATGGTCAAGAGAAGGGATTGTTTCATTGGTTTGAGTTTTGTTTTTAAGTTGGGAGAAGTTGAGAACGTTAAACTCTTGGGGGAAGGAGAGAGGAGTCATGCAGGGACTGCATAAGCACCCCAAGAAGGTGGGAGAGGATGGTGTCTCAAGCACAGGCAGAGAGCACTTCTTCCACTGTGATGAGAGGACAGGACAGGAGGGGGCTGGAGAGGTGGGTCATTTGGCAATTGGAGAGCGGGGAGTTGAGCAAAAAATTCCTATCTTATGGTTTCCATTTTCTTTGTGAAATAAGTGCTGAGATTATCTGCTAAATTATAGGAAAAGTGAAATATGGGAAGATGGGCATCTCAGAAACCCTAAGAGAGAGAGATGATTTGAAATCTTAACTTTAAGAGAATGGGAGAGCGCCTTCATTGGAGATACATAGAAAGCTTGCCCAGATGAGGCTGGCATTCATGAATTTATAGTGTGATCAACTAATCTGTTCCACGTGATTTTTTTTCCAACAGCACCCAGATCCCCTAGTGTAGGCACAAAGAAAGCCAAGAGTTGAATTGGAGACTTGACAAATAAGTATCAACCAAACATAAAGGGCACAGGAATTCATACTAAGCAGAGGGTCCTCCACCTTCCATCCCTCTTCCACCCTCTTCAAGGCCCATCGGTGTTCTTTGCATTTATTTCTTTTGCTTATTCACGATCCATACAAATTTGCATGTTCTTGTGGCTAATCAGCCTTGAGTAAGATAAAAAAAAAAAAAGGAGAAAATAACTTGAAAGGTTAGGGATTGGAATGTGAGGGAAGAGAGAGAGCTAACTTGCTGAGCATTGGCTCTTGTGCTAGATGTTTACAAACTTGCTCTCACTTAATATGGAGTGGACAATGACTATTTCTTCATTCTCCTGTCTAATGACATTTCAGTAAGTCACTACTGCTCCCTTTCTGAGACCATAGAATTAGTGGAAAAAACTCACCTCTCTGAGGTCATATACTGTCAAAGCTATGGACATGATGGACATGATTATGATGGCAAAAGCATACTCCATATAGTCTTCACTAAACCACAGACAGACACTGAAGAGCTGAAACACGTAAAATGGATTTAGAACCTGTGGGCAGACATAAAAACAGAAAGACAAGATACTTAGGCTTCACACTTAGCTATTCATTGACTTGTTTGTTTTCATAATCATTTCCATGATATAAATCATCCCACACAATATTCTTATTTTTCTTAATGTTATATTTATTCAGCAATTGCCATGTGCCAGACACTGCACTAAGCATCTTTACCTGAATTTACTCATTTAATTCCTATAATTACTTATTAACCAGAAGTTATTATTTATCTCCAAAGATGAAGAAATTGAGTCACAGAGCTGTCTGATTTCAGAGCACTTATTTTTAATCACTGCTACACTTTACAATTTACAAAGCAGTGTCTCATGGATCGTCATGTTGATCATCACAATAGTTGGACAAAGAATAGACGTTATCATCTCCTTTTACATTTACTGGTCTTCAGAAAGATGAAGTATTAGATCAGGTTTACAAAGTTCAAATATTGCTCTATTGTTCTCTGTGACATATAGCTGCCATATTTGAAGTCATTAAAGAACTTTGGATTAATGGATGAGTTGAAGCCTACCATTTTCTCATAAGTAGAGAGCTGAGCTGAAAGTGGTCAGCTATAATGGAGCATCTAGAACACTGTTGGGAGAGAGCAGATGTGGACTCCAACAGTTATAATCCTGCTTTGGTTAAAAACACTGCATGCCCTTACTCAAATTCCCTCTAGTTGGTTTGCATCTATCTAAGACATGAATGTTAATCCTTGCCCCTGGTTAGGGATGAAGCACACAGAAACTTTTCCTACCAGTTTGTTTTGCTTTCTTTTATGCTTGAAAGCTTGTTGGAAATATTGAGAATGTACCTTGAGTTTAGTAAGCTTTTTTTTTAAGGCAAAGAGAAGTGGAGGTGGAACACAGGAAAAGGCCCAGAGTGCAGCTAAACTGCTATGGCTTGATATTAATCACTGTAACATGAAAAGTAAGCTCAGTGATAGAGTCCAAGAGGAAAAATCAGCGTAGTAAATGATGGTCAAGTCCTTTTTTTCCTCCCACACATACATTGAGATCAGTAGAACTAATAAGGCTGAAAATAGTTTTTTTTCCTTCAAACAATTTTGGATGCTGAGGAAATTGTATACGTTGCCTAAGAAAAGGATAAAAAAAATTATTTTAATTTCGCAAAGTTGAAACAGGCTAAGCAGCATAGTATTAAAAAAGAAAGAAAAGAATACTATGTTCATCCAGTCATTAAATTACAAGTAGACACATGAGTGTCACACCCTATATTGTATTAGGCAACATTCAAAAGAGGGACTTGAAGAAAAAGAATATTCGGATATGTGAAGAGAACATGCTTGGCATGCTTTTAAGACACCTTTCAAATTACAGTTGTTTATTAATGAGTAGCACTCTTGATTGTTTGACTGGATCAAAATTTTTTTATTTTTTTATTCAACACCAAGAAAAAATACTGGAGAAATTACCTCTTTGACGAGCAGTTTCCAAATTGGTGTGATTTCAACACTGATAGTATTAGGCCCGCATATTAATCTCCTATAGGGAGAGATCACAGATCACTCATTTGCTAATAAAAACATGAAACCCATTTCTCACCCATTCAGAAAAAGGTCTATTCCATATTTACTTTCTCACTTGTGGGATCAGTATAAGTCTCCCTTGTTATACAATATCCCCATCCTTATCAAAATAACTGGGGACAGGGAAGGTCCTAGGTGCAAAAACAATAAACGTGATCATATTGCTTCTATTGAACTAGACTCTCCCCAAGGTCTACAATTTCCCTGAAATGATAATCTGGGTATTTAATATTACCCATTGTCTCATTCAAATAGTTTTAGGATTAGCATGTCCCCAACTCTGTCTCTCCCCACCTCTGGTTCCATGGCTGTGGGGTGGAGAGGCCATTAAGAGAGNGTGACATATAGCTGCCATATTTGAAGTCATTAAAGAACTTTGGATTAATGGATGAGTTGAAGCCTACCATTTTCTCATAAGTAGAGAGCTGAGCTGAAAGTGGTCAGCTATAATGGAGCATCTAGAACACTGTTGGGAGAGAGCAGATGTGGACTCCAACAGTTATAATCCTGCTTTGGTTAAAAACACTGCATGCCCTTACTCAAATTCCCTCTAGTTGGTTTGCATCTATCTAAGACATGAATGTTAATCCTTGCCCCTGGTTAGGGATGAAGCACACAGAAACTTTTCCTACCAGTTTGTTTTGCTTTCTTTTATGCTTGAAAGCTTGTTGGAAATATTGAGAATGTACCTTGAGTTTAGTAAGCTTTTTTTTTAAGGCAAAGAGAAGTGGAGGTGGAACACAGGAAAAGGCCCAGAGTGCAGCTAAACTGCTATGGCTTGATATTAATCACTGTAACATGAAAAGTAAGCTCAGTGATAGAGTCCAAGAGGAAAAATCAGCGTAGTAAATGATGGTCAAGTCCTTTTTTTCCTCCCACACATACATTGAGATCAGTAGAACTAATAAGGCTGAAAATAGTTTTTTTTCCTTCAAACAATTTTGGATGCTGAGGAAATTGTATACGTTGCCTAAGAAAAGGATAAAAAAAATTATTTTAATTTCGCAAAGTTGAAACAGGCTAAGCAGCATAGTATTAAAAAAGAAAGAAAAGAATACTATGTTCATCCAGTCATTAAATTACAAGTAGACACATGAGTGTCACACCCTATATTGTATTAGGCAACATTCAAAAGAGGGACTTGAAGAAAAAGAATATTCGGATATGTGAAGAGAACATGCTTGGCATGCTTTTAAGACACCTTTCAAATTACAGTTGTTTATTAATGAGTAGCACTTTTGATTGTTTGACTGGATCAAAATTTTTTTATTTTTTTATTCAACACCAAGAAAAAATACTGGAGAAATTACCTCTTTGACGAGCAGTTTCCAAATTGGTGTGATTTCAACACTGATAGTATTAGGCCCGCATATTAATCTCCTATAGGGAGAGATCACAGATCACTCATTTGCTAATAAAAACATGAAACCCATTTCTCACCCATTCAGAAAAAGGTCTATTCCATATTTACTTTCTCACTTGTGGGATCAGTATAAGTCTCCCTTGTTATACAATATCCCCATCCTTATCAAAATAACTGGGGACAGGGAAGGTCCTAGGTGCAAAAACAATAAACGTGATCATATTGCTTCTATTGAACTAGACTTTCCCCAAGGTCTACAATTTCCCTGAAATGATAATCTGGGTATTTAATATTACCCATTGTCTCATTCAAATAGTTTCAGGATTAGCATGTCTCAGGGAAGGTCCTAGGTGCAAAAACAATAAACGTGATCATATTGCTTCTATTGAACTAGACTCTCCCCAAGGTCTACAATTTCCCTGAAATGATAATCTGGGTATTTAATATTACCCATTGTCTCATTCAAATAGTTTTAGGATTAGCATGTCCCCAACTCTGTCTCTCCCCACCTCTGGTTCCATGGCTGTGGGGTGGAGAGGCCATTAAGAGAGAATAATTTTGCTGATAAGAAAATACTATACTTACTTTCTACCCCTACTCAGAAGTTCTGGGAAGCTGTAGAAATTGTTTTAATATGAGTGGAAATATCCTGGGCTCCCCAAAATAGCTCTGTACACAGAATTATACAGCTCTTTAATTGAAGACTGAGAGATGTGTTTCTTTGATTGTGCAGAGGAATGGCACATTATGAGTTATTTTGCTATTGAGAACACTAACTACTCTCCCTGTGCCTTCCACATAGATGCTCAGATCATAAATAGCTTGGCCAAATATATTAGAGCAGAGCTTCTCAAACTTTAATGTTCATGCAGATAATGTTAAAATGAAGATCCTGATTCAATAGGAGCAAGGCGTGGTCTTCTAGGCTCCTAGGTTATGCTAATGCTGCAAAGGTCTAGGTCTCTTCAAAGTACTAGAAATGGGACAGGAGAAGTATAAGAATCATGGAAACTTAGGACCAACAAGGCCTTTATACAGTCCTCCCCCTTTTTATGATTGGGAAACTAAGGCCCCAAGAGAAGATATTTGCTCAAAGCCACACAAACTCTTGACATTCCAGTGCCCTCTCTAAACCTTGCTCCTCTTCCTAGTACCTCCTTTGGAATTGTGGAGCTACGCATCTTGCGTGACATTCTTCTGATGCTCCATAATTGTTTTTTAAGTGTGTTATCACGGTGTAACATCCATTTCTTGATTACAATCAAAACAGACTCAACCTTATTATTACAGTAATATAATATTAAGAAGCATCCTGTAGATTACAAAGAGCACTAAACTACTGTCAGAAGTGTGGGACTCCACTGTTCATACAGCACTTTTCATGTGTGTGACCTTTTTCAGACTATTAAACCTCTCTGAGCTGCAGATTTCTCATCTGTTGTATTGGGATGGTGGTGATGTCTGTTCTACACCCCACCTCCCACCCGTTGCTCTGACCATGAAATGAGATAATTTATGTGAAAGCATTTAATTTAATAATGCTAACTAGGGCATTACAACATTTTCTGATATTAATCAATTAACTATTTACTGAGCTATTTGGCTAACTGATAATAGTCTTTTTGAGCTAGTATAGAAAACAATATGCATGATACCTAATTTCTTGTTCTTCCCTTGTTAGACCTGATCCAAATTTTAGATGTATCTTGGCAGAACTGAGCCAGTCTTCCAAAGAGCTGCAATAATAATAATGAGAAAGATTTATTTAGCAACAATATTTTTGAGATAAAATTTTTCTTCTTTGGATGCACTTGCTAAAACAACTTACCCAATTTTCTGGAACCGTCCTTCCAAGTTGTCCCAAACATATCTTATTTTCTGCACTTTTATGTATCTCACCTGCAAAAGAAAAGTACTAAGGAAGTCTTTAGTTTTAGGATCGGGGAATACACAGCAACTCAGTGGATACAGAAGCATTTGTGGAAGATGCAAAGACAGAACACTAAAACGCTTATTTAAGATTTTATCCTTTCTTAAGTTACCCTATTGTTTCCTACTACACAAATAACATTTTTTATTAGAAGTCATCATTCAACCAACATGTATCATGGGCCTACTATATGAATAAATACAGGAATAAAACTCAATCTCTGCATTGCACCACTTCCTAATCTAAGAAGGAAAGAAAATCTATTCCAAAAAATAAACTATACATTATAGTCAAATAAATACATGTCAAAGAAACAAAAATATTAAAAAGTAAAAAATATTGTCTTGAAATACTGTATGAATATAGAGAGGGCAGGTGACAGAAGGCATTGTGGAGGAAATGACATCTGAGCTGCAGTGGTGAAGGGTTGGAAGAATTTTGCTGAGACGAGAAGGGAAGAGGGCATCTCAAAGAGGTCATGCACAAGTTAGTTGAGGGGAGGTGACAAGCAGGTGGGCCTATTTGACTGAGAATGGAGAATGAAGCTGGAAAGAAAAGCTAAGACTTGATTATGAGCAGCTGTAAATGCCATTTGGTACTTTATCTCATAGGCAATGGACTTGTGGAGTAACCTATGGAAGAGAAACTAAAAAAGATTAGGCTGACAACTAATACTAAAGTGAAGAGGTTATTGCAAGAAAATGTGCTCCAGAAAGTGAAAGTCTGAGGGTGTTGGCAGTGAAAAGAAAGGGTTACTACTGATGACAATTGTGACTTCTTGCTTCCACTTTCTGTAAGCAACTTTGTATGTGAATCAATTTCCATGAGCTGGTGACTAAACTAAGCACAAAGGGAAACAGTGAGACTGCAACGGCTATAACCTCAGGTTACTCATTGAAATCATCTGGACAGCCTGGATCCCAATCCCAAGAGATTCTGATTTAATTTGTCTGCAGTGCATCCTGGGCATAACTATTTTTAAATTTCCCCAGGTAATTCTAATGCACAGCTAAAGTTTAGGAACAGTGTCCAAGCTGTCCTTTTATAGCTCTCTGCTACCTGTGTCCCTGAGAACTTCAACTAAATTTACCTGCACCTCATTCTCCCCAAGAATAAATTGAAGCAATTGGCTAGATTATGTCTAAATTCAACTTCAGCTCCTCTCTATATATTCTACACCTATGAATATTGTAGTCAGTATATCCATAAGATAAATTCTAACCATGTAGTTAGTACATAAGTGCTCAGTGCCTTTTTATTAAATAAAGAATGTTTTGTAAAATCACATTCAACTAGAAATACAGTTTAAATTCCTAAGCTCCAACACCTAAGTTACTTCAAATGAATCTTTTTTTTTTTTTCTTTTTGTCTTTTTTACTGACCGGCAATGGGATTGCAACCCTCGGTGTTGCACCCGCACCACACACCGCACTCAGCCAGTGAGCGGGAACCGGTCTCCACATGGGATCTGAACCCTCGGCGGGAGGGTCGCCACGCTCCCAAGCGGCGCACTCTCCAGTGCGCCACCAGGCCGGCCCAAATGAATCTTAACATTACTCAATAAGTATGTGTGTGTGTGTGCACACGGGCACACGCACACACATGCACACTCATATTCAATTGTTACTAAGAGTGTTAAATGCAATTTTTTTTTTATTTTACAGAATGTATTTTTTTCAATGAGGTTGGTTGCAGAATAACTTATGTAAAAATGTTTTATTTCCAATTGATTTTCAGTATGAAATTGGAGTGAATTGTCACTGGGAATGATTCTTCCTTCATAAGCTGAAATTAGAGAGAGAAAATAGTCTTTAGAAGTGACCAGCCTTGGGGGCATGTAAGCCACCATGGCCCACACTGGAACCTCAAGTTTCTTGCCTCACAACTTGCTTTCCTTTCCAGTATTCCCTGCAATTTTGCAAATAGCGCAGAAGTGTAATCACAACTACTACTTATTGAACATTTTAGGGATTTTCACACATTATCTTTAGTCTTTATCATCATCTTGTGTCATGGCAGATATTATTTTCATCCTCACTTTGCACCTGAAGTTCATTTTGATTAAGTAACTTGAAAGGCTGGAATTTGAACTCCAGACTATTTGGCTCCAAAGTTTAGTCTTTCAGAGGTTATAATATGGAAGAAAATCTAAAAATTCCTTAACTTCAAGATTCAGTTTATGCAAAGTGAGGGTTTCCTACTTTATTAATTTCATAAATTCGAAAATCTGTGTTAGAAAAATTTTAAAGGACAAACTATGGTGGAATGTGAGGCCCCTTCCCAGAGAACCTGTATAAAGAGGCTGGGAAACCACAAACTGAGACTGAGAATTCATAAATAGACACGATGTATCCACAAATGAAGGCAACAATAATGAGGAAAAAAGAGGTTACTAATACATTTTATCTCAGGCCAAAAAATGGAAAATTCCATTATCTGCTGACGATTTCTGAGTCCATTTTCACAGAGTGTGAAGGATGACTCCATCCTAGATCTTTTAAGCATCTTTGAGATTCCCCCTACAGGGAACATCTCTGTCTGGATCTGCTTCCCTCATCACCCCTGCAGCCTCTGGAAGCTGGTAAGAGGATGATAAGTAATATTTGCAAAAGGTGGAGTTTATTTACCAATTTCACTGAAACTTCAGACCAGGAAACAGTAACTAGGAAATCATGTATCTGCTATAGGGTGAATTTCAGCTTTCTGCTCAGGAATCAGGAAGATTTCCTCTCCTCAAGATTCCTGCTCTTCATTTTTTATTGGAACATGTTATAAGACATCCTATTTAACAGGTTAAGCAAAGGGTTTCAGTTTTGCATGCAATCCTACAAGATGGTCCTTAGAGTTTCCTCTTAGCCTACATTTGCAAACCTGACATAGTTCTTTGCTGCAGTCTCCAAACTCCTCATAAATGGCCCTAAATGGTTGTCATCTTGACATTGTTCTTACTATTGTTATTGCTGTCAGTGCCATCATGGCAGAGCCCATGACGTCTCCTCTGACTTAATGAAAGTTTAGGCCCTTATTATGAATATAGTTCACTGCAATTCACAAATCACTTTAATATCCATCTTCTCATTTTAGATTCACAAGAGCCCTGAGAAACAGGCAGAGAAGGGTTATTTACTCAAGGGGTAATAAACTCAAGTCTCAGAGAGGCAGTAACAGCCAAATTCCCTATGTTATAAACTGGTAAATTAAGGTATCAAGTCTGCCTATCAAACTTTCCATTCCCAAACTTTTGCTCCTTCCTCACGTTCTCCTTGTTTATTTGAGCATTTCTTCATTTGTCTGTCCACTTATTTCTTTGATGCAATTAAAGATGCTAGAATTTTAGGGCAATAAAACTCTGAGGCCATGTGTATAAGGCTGGTCTGGGAAGCCTACTTCTTCAGGTGAATGGCCGCCTAGCAGATTATGCAATCTGTTAGTTGGAGGTGCTTGACCTCTTTTGTTTTTGTTTATTTTGGCAGTTTAGACAGCTGGGTGAAAACAACTGACAATAGAGAAACTGCTGATCAATTGACTTTTATTATTTTTTTAAAAATGACCTTGAGCTCATAAAAATTATTTAAACAGCTGTCTACACATATATAGATGAGAGAAAACATTCTGTCTTATAAAATGTTTTTAATGTGAATGTTAATTAGTCATAATCCAAGCAGGACTAATTTAATATGGTGAAGAGGGAGTAACCCAAATTCATTTGAATAAAGAGTTCAAAGTAAGGTCATTTTGCAGACACAAGCAAACTCCTTGGGATATTCCTGGGTGATTACCTTTACTGTAAGATTACCCCTATTACACAGATTATAATACAGGTCATGATCCTATTAAGAGCTAATATGTATTGAGCATCTACAATGTATCTGGCACTATATTGATTTTTGTATTCCTTAATTTGCTTAATTTCATCAATTAATTTTATAGACAAGAAAACTAAGGCTCAATTGAGTTAAGTAATTGATCCAAGGTTGTACTTTTTAGAAGGAAGAAGCTGAGATTTGAACTGAGCTCTGTCTGGCTCCAAAATTCATGTTCTTGACATTCTACATTGTCAGTTGAAGACTGGCACAATGGAGGACCTAAATGTAGATATATTTGAAGGAGCAAAATGTAAGTTTCTCTGGCATCAGAAGTAGCCATAAATTCACTTACCTTTAGGTCTGGCTTTCTTATGGCTCTATTTATGATATAATCCTCATCTGTAATGAGAGGGTGGTCGGGGCTGAGACTAAATGTGCCATTTGATGCTGACAGGTAGATCCACGTTACCTTTTTCCAAGAGTAAGTTTGGAATTCATCCTGAAGAAATAGACACCAAAACTCCCGTGAAATTAAGAGATCATTAGGCTAAAATCCAATCTGAAAAATATCATCTTAATGTAATTTTGCAAGTGCATGGGGTTAGTGAACATTCTAGACAGAATTATGTGCCTTTGAAAGATGGTACATATAGAACCTCGAGAGGAAAGGCTTGTTATCATTTATGAAGGAATCTGGATATGAATACGAGGCATTGACACATATAACAAAGCTG